TCAAAAAAGAAACACTGAAGTGAAGTTCGGGGCAACTACCAGGTTTATGCGCAATGGTAGAGGTGATTAAATTAATACATCTGTATGTAATTAGTGACATTAAAAACGCACTGTTGTTTTTAACTAAGCAGATAGTATACCTACTTTTTAGAACACAAATTGTCAAAATTGTCAATCTATTTCCCATCGCTGTGTTCAAGACATTTACCTGAAATAACAATATTAGGCTACACTAGTTTAAAAAGATAAGGCATAAACTAAGGCTATATAAAATTTTGAAACAAAAAATGAAATACTTGTCAGAGAGAAATATGTTTGTATGTTTCCTTAAAAGCGAATGTTGAATGCACAAAAAAGCTAAACTGTTATCATCCTCTGTTGTTCAATGTATTTTGTCTACTTTAATCATTAGAGCTTAATAAAAGAGGCATTGTATGCTACATTCCTATCAAAATGTTCATAAGATTTCCGACCATATTCACTGTTTATAAATTATAATTAATTTATTTAATTGGATATAACAGATTACCCATTGGGTAATTATAGTTTAAAAACATAAGTACATAAAGCTATTTACAATTTAAAAAAAAAACAAATTTTTACAATACCTGTTTAAAAGAAATATATGTGTATGTCTTATTAAAAGCGAATAGTGCATGCACAAAATCAATGCTTAAGGGTTATTATCCATTTTTTTTATAATGCATTTTGTCTACCTGTTATATTTATCATATGTACTAAATAATTCGTCTCTGTATGTATTAGATAAGACAGGTAAGTCACTGTTTTTAAATCATCTTTGCCTTAAGAGTAAATGTGTAAGAGGCCAGATAAGTAAGAGCTGTGAACCGGACGCACACATTGCTTCAACTGTGACGTAATGATTTTAATTAACTGGACAACGATTATAGAAAATAAAGTTCCGTGTCAATCAGTATTTGATCCAATTTATCAATATTTGCTTGGGTTTACCTGCATACGTATAGTTGGTAGCAGTAAGTAATTTAAGTATTTATAATAAATTAATATATATAACTGATGCTATTTGAAACGTACGCATCTACAACAATAATATCTAACATTTAGATTCGGCTAGCGCCTAGTCCAACGTACATTTAAGAAGAATATGTGCTCGTCGCATACGAGGAGTGATGTACTGAACAATGATTAATAACTTCATATTATTTTATATGGATATGCAATTAAAAAAGACTCTACTTACCTAAATCCGTATTGTAATATTCCATGCAGGCATTGTCCTTTTATTTGCAACCTTGGATTTAAATTGGGCACTGGTAAACCGCATTTATATAGTGTGCATAGGTTTGCATAACTTCCTGGTTTAAACATTTTGTGTAAAAGATATCTTACATGTACATAGAATAAAAAACTTTTAAAGCTTCAGTCAAATAAAAATATCTTCTATCGCTTTTATCTATGTTTAATATTTAAATAAATTGAGATTGATTTTTAACGACACTCTACTACCGAAGTACTTGTAAATGTTTTACACCACCTTTTATTTGTCGCATTAAATATAATTTATTACAACACATGCATTTAACTTCATAAAATATTTGACTGAATAACATGAATATGACTTTAATGTTAGCTTATCCAGGGTTATATTGTGATTCCTACCAAGTTCTGTCTGAATCTAAATAATACTACCACAACGAAAGATGGTTTAAATAAATCTGGTACGATATCAATATACATAACACAGACATCGTGGGGATGGATATGTAATGATATATACAATTATTTAATTCTATTTCAAATTGTATTGCCATTAAAATATGTTGGTTACCACAGTATGTTCAAAGGTAGAAATTATATCAGTGTTTTGTTATGTGGATTCAATATCGGTCGTGTTAGAAGATGCAAGCTGGTGCAAAGCTTTTATTTGTTCTTCTCCATACTCATGTGCGTTTATTTTTGAAATTTATGAAAAATGTAGACTCATCAGTCAACCAAAAAGGTATCCAATTGCGGTATAGTTATTGTTCATGTTCACAAGCCAAACGTAGCTTATATGCCAAAAGCACACTTAAGGCAAGACGTCTGGCATTCATGCTACCATCATTTAATCTATTTATTATTGTCTGGATAGGTACCCTACATTTGTTGCATTCCTGAAGTTGTTTTTTTGACGAAGTACCCTTCCCCCCGGTAACGGTTGCACCGGGTCTGAACAACAATATATGGGTCTAATGCATGTGTCGTACAATTAAAATTACCACCACGGTTAAAATGTGCTAAACTTCTTTCGATTTGGAAACGATTTCACATTCGATGAACAACAATACAGAAACATTCAAATTTAAGGTACCGGCAACCTGTATCTGAGACATGCCTGTCTGCAATATACCACATTTCAATTTCCTCACCCTTTCATCGGATCAAACGTTTCCTTTTATTTATCGAAACAAGTAATAAAGTTAAATTATAAATAACAGAATAAATGACGTAAACGGACCAAACAGACGTCTACGTTAAGTGAAACCACATTTGGCACTTATGAGCGTTTGGGTTATGCAATTAAATAAATCATAAATTTCTGCTTTGTATAAACAGAAAGGACACTGTTCTTTGTTTCACTAAAAACACATCAACACTCGTAAGGTCTTACATTTACTTGGAAATGACTATCTCAGGCCAGGTGCCTATTTGTTCACGAATTCAGGCCCGAGTAGAACCTACGAACTTCCGAAAGCTAGCTTGATAGCTTCCTGACACGAACTAATCATAATCAGGGGTGAACGACCTAAAACACAAGGGACAGAATCTCTAACACTAGGCAAACCTGATAGACAAATACTAAGCACTACATTGTTCTTAACTAAATTTTGTGGTTGAATTGTTCTAAACTGTAAATGCATGTACATAGCGCTACAGGAAGATGTAAATGCATTGTATGTAAAACGTACAAAAGGAAGTACTTTCGAAGTAATTAAAATAGTTTTTTCTTGAGCATTGTACTTCTATTTAAATATTTCAATTATTAGTAAATTTTCAAGTTCAGTTGAATACTTTTGAGTTTTGATTTTGGACAAAAAAATAAATGTATGCAAACGTTTCTTTTTTGATTGAGCGGAAGCAAAGACGTCCCAGCCAAAAAGGCGCATATTTTGTGTAACCAAACTTAAACGCAATCCGACGTATTATTTCATTAGCATTGGCAAAGAAAGTAGACGCACTATCCCAAAGAGAATTAAGACATATTCAGGTATACCAACTAGGAGAACACTTTGTGGAAAGAGCTAAAAATGTATTTAATATGTTTAGAATCTAATACACAAGATTTGCAAATGGAAATAAAAATACTAAATGAAAAGGACACGTCAGTCAATTCATTACAGATATGTTACATCAATGTTTAAGCTGAGTTTAAACGAATTCACATCAAAATAAGGAGAGCGTATTTTTCTCTGTGGAAATCGATCTCGGGCATAGAGTAATTTAAACGTAGACATAAGTCTGTCACTGCTGAATCAAAAATCAAGTCTGATTAGTAAGTAGTCGGTAATTTGCGCATAAAATTGTTAATTACTGGTTGGTATAACTGAAAGTTTTTTAAGTGGATCAGCCGACGAGTTATGACCAAAATGTAATAACATTGGCATACATAGCCAAACAAAAGACAAACAAACAGTTTATAACTTGACAGCATGTCACAAAACACGTATAATCATATGGTTAAACTTTGTATCTCCTTCTCTCTACGTCGAAAGCTAGCAATTGTCTGCTTGAATGACAATGTCATAATGTAGTGTAAAGATTGTTTGTTTCACTCTTCAGGATGTATAGTAAACTTGTTAAATCAATCGGGATGTAAACTACTCTTAATAGTCCTCGGGATGTACAATATATTTGTTAAGCCCTTCAGGTATTGTATTAATACTTCCTTAACTGTAATAGTGTAAAGGGTCTATGTAAACAATCGAGTGGACCCGTCATTGTCTACATTTAATTTAGTACAAATTAACACTTGATATATACTATCTGTTCAGTATTTGTTTTCATAATAAAATATACACTATAAAAGAACATAGCAGACATTTTTGATTATATTAACATTGATATACACATTGATATTTCAAGATGTACATGATATATATTATATGCTACATATACAAGTTAAAAACGATAACAAAACTGACAAATATTTACATGATTTACAAATATTGAAAACGCAAAGTTTCTTACATTTGTCACAATCTAACATTAATATAATCTAAACTATAAAATGCAATTTTACAGTAATCTTTGGTAATAGTTGGTATATAATTAATCGAAAGGCATAAAAGATATAATTTTTTATATAAAAATTCACTGCATAAACATCTGATAAATTTCAATAGTTTAAGAACATTAAAGTACGTTTTACTTAGCGTATGTACGAGTGTTTTCAGTGTTTGTTAATATTATATGTTATTTTATAATTCGTTTATAGACATCACTATTTAGTTCTTACACAGCATATACAGTAATTATGCTGAAAGTTCAAGGCAATTACAAACATAATAACTATTAACCAGTATAGATTTCATAAAGATTTTTGTCCTCATATTTTCATATTCATATATATTGCTTTATCAAAGTCTTTTTGCAAGGTCTCCGGAGCTGAATCAACAAAACTGTTGTTGGAAATATCATCACGGTTGTCATCCACTGGTTTAAGTTTACTGTACTGATTACTGTCTTTCAAGATGTTATCAAGTTCTTCATAAGGATTTTGTGGAAAAGCTTCCGTACGTGTGCCTTAAGTGAAATCCAATGTATGATGAACAAAATTTATTTTAATGTGTGACTTAAAGAACAGATTAAACTAATCATTGATTTCATGAATTACCAAATGTCGTCCAGTTACAAATATATTGACATTATAGTTAATTATAATAGTTAAAAAAATGTCATGATATAAAAAGAAAATTTAATATAATCACATAACCTATTATCTTTAAATATCATAACATAAAAGTATTGTCAATAAGCATACACTTATAATTAAATTAACACACACAAAAAAATGACATACCTGTGCTGTTTGGGTCATTCGGTTTTATGTTTGCTCCAACTGCATAAAGATCAATGCCCTCGTATTCAGTTGCCGAATTGATCGTTTGCGTTGATGGTCCTACACATTTCGATTATATAATACTGATTTTAGTTTGACTGACTATGAAAATTAATTCATTACTGTCTCGTTTGAATTTCGTTTATTTATCAGTGTAGGCATAAATTCAATTGAATAATATAATTATTTATAGCATTTACAAAATCCTTTTACTTCAGCTTTCTAACAAATTCGTTGTTACAAACTATACTTATAAAAGGCTAGACAAAATTGTAAAAAGAACTGCTACATTTCCTCTAACATTGGCATTTTACTATATTTCAGTCAGTTTGTATGTGACAAAAAATTTAATCTATAATCAAGTGTGCATTAATCAAATATATTTAAAAATGTGTGTGCAACATTTATGGCATCAATAAAGTTACCCCATTATAAAGAATTCGAAATAAGATTACAAACCATTAGTATTTTGATATACACTTTTACTTGTATGTTGATATCTCAGCATAAACCTGAAATTTATGCAAAGTTGCAACACACTATGTAACGAAAAATAAATTCACAAAAAGACGTTTTTCTAAATGGTTAGACTTTTCAGTGATTTAACGATGTATGCACTGTTGCAACAGTTGTGATATTACAGTATATAATTTACTAACAAATTAATGCACTTCAACTATATGAATAGGTGTGTACGTTAAAGAAAAAGTATTTTGACGAAAGTCATCTTTACAATCGGCGTTATACATAATATGAACAGTTTTTAAATTTATTTACCTTCTTAATGCGTATATACCAACAACTAGAACAAGCAAAAAGAGCACAACACCGATACAAATTCCTATGGTTGTCCCAACGACACTGGTGTTACCATCTGTATACATCCCTTCTGAAAACACACGAAATAGTTGCCTATAAAAGCTGAAAGATTTGTTGTTGATTGTTTAAGATAAAATATGTGACAGTGTATGAAATGATAGTAAAAATCATGACTTAACAACTTGTGAATATGTAATTCTTAAAACAATAAGAGTACCTTTGGTCTTGATTTCAAGACGTTCAGACAACTTGGATGATCCTAATATGTTAACGGAATATACAAATATGTAATAGACAGAATTGCTTGACAACCCATTTATCGTATAAATAAGAATTGGTTCTCCCGTGTCTTCTATTTCTTCGTGTGTCCAGTGTTTCTGTAGAGATTTCGAGTAGTTCAATACAAAATGTTGAGGTTGTCCACCATTAAAAGAAGGAAACCATTGTACTGTTGCACTTGTAGCCGTTGTTAATTTATTGAGAACCCGAAAGCCCGTCGGAGGAGTTGGTCTGTCTAAAAAAATACCGACAGTTGAACACGATAATGCGATTAAACAAAAGAAACCTCATTTAAATCAGTGACTTATGGAAGTTGTATTTGTAAAGTAAATAAAGCATTATAAGTACAGCTATATAACAATCTAATATAAATGATATACTAACGTCAAAATTTACTGTATTTGTCACCATTAAACCGGTCAATAGGCATGATAGGTTCGCAAAGTTATACTGCATGAAGGCTTCATGAGACTCTTAATTAATTCATTAGTACAAAGAACATACATAAAATCATTTACATTATTTTGTACTTAGTATCATAATATATAAATATGCAGTCAATAACAAATACCTTTGTTTACAGAATGAATTTTAAACGTATATGTTCATGCCATTTTGAATAATATATCATTATATAATGACCAATTTTATTAAATGCACATTTTATTAAATGGAAATAAATAATTTCCTCTTTTAATAAACATTTTATCAAAGATTATTTGGATAATAATCTAAACACATAGAACATGAAAGTGTGCATAACTTACCTTCAGCATTGATGTAGTAGTCTTGTATGTATGAACCAACATCATTAGAAATAATTAGCCTATATCGCCCGAAGTCGGTCTCCATCATGTTGTATATAGATAAACTTACATTTAACTCATTATTTGATATATTGATATTACTGTTTGATGTAACACTTATCCAATTAGACTTTGAATATTTCTGCCAAATAACACTTTCTGGTTTAGGGTAGGCAAGGATAGGAAAATAAAGAACGGCAGTAACATTACTTGCTACTGTTAAGTTTGTATTGAATGGAACTGTTGGATTAGCTCTCGGTGAACCTATATCAAATCAAAATAACATGATATGAGCAACTTAATTTGCTTTATACCAAAACAAACATAAAACTAGCATATATTATACAAATTTGTAAAATCAAATAATTAAAAATATGAGATGATGTTTTGTGTTGTTGAATAATATAATTTATTAGATTATTCAGTGTAATTTATCGCTATTATTTGCTGAAATTGACAAGTAATATGTGTGTTAGTTTTGAACTACATATGTATATCAAACGGTTTGTATTGAAATACATTTGCAAAATTTACTCGGTTTACAATTCATATTGCAAATACCGTTCATTAACTGTATTGCAAACAACCAAGTCTACTAAATTTGATATACATTATGTTCAAGGAAAAGATGGACAGCTTTGCTATCTCATATTATTGAGTTACTTGATTACAAAATCATATTCTGCTTGTATTTATATCATGTAAAAACAGAACTTAAGTTTTTATATACTAACATCTTATAAATAAATTCAGTTGCTTTGTTGAACCGACTCCGATGTTGTGTTTGTTTTTGCCGAAACAAAAAAAGGTTCCAGAATCTGTACATTTGGCAGAGCTAAGTGTAAAACTCAGCATATTTGAATGAGTCCAAACCAAAGTTTTGTCCGTCGTAAATCGTAGACTCGTATTCGAAATTGGTTTACTGTCAATGTCGCAAATAAAGGTAACGTTGTCATATTCAGTTGATGTCACATTACGCTCAGATTTGTATCCATTCACGTAAAAATCCTTTATTGTCGCAGAGTCTGAAAATGAATCATTTTGTTATGAATTAACTTCATGGGAATTTCTCTTCAATCACTAAACGGAAAGAATAGAAGTTTAATAAGTATGTAGAATCTAAAATTTTGCGATAGATAAGATAGATAAACAACATTTCACTTATTGTGTTGAATAAATACCTGTAAGACAATTTTTAGAACTACATGTATATAATATTATATGGTTCATGCAAAAAATATAGTACATACATTCTACAGATAGATGCCACATTTTACTGTCTGTTCCTTTAACAGGTGATTTTCCAGTTGGTGTCATAATGTTGTAAACACTGCAGTTGTAATTCATGTCGTCATCCCTTGAAATGTTACGTATTGTTATATATTGACTTGACCAGGTCATGTGCCTCTCAGATGTCCATAAAAATACCGTTTCCTTTGAGTTTCCATGAGTAACCGAACATGAAAAGTTAAGATGATCTCCTTCTACCAATGTCAAGTTTTCTAATGTGTTAATTGTAGGCGGATCTAGAAACGTTTCAAACGTCTAATAAATAATTTATTATTCATATCACGGCGACATTCCATTTTAATTTTATTTTTATTTTCTTATGATTTTTTAGTTTTATTTATTTATTTATTTTTTGTGGGGATAGGGGTGTGATAATTATTGTTTTTATTTATTTTTTTTTGTTTTGGGGTGGGGTTGTTTTGTTGTTGTTGTTGTGGTATTTCATTCCAGTTGTTTTGAAGGCTGAGCTCCACTGAGGTACAAACCCATAACATAAAGTTTAAAATCTTAATATGCTTATCTTCTTTATTGTAAGGTTTGAAAGCGGATAAACAAAACGTTTCAAACTTTTATTTATTTTCAAATCAACGTATGGTTTTACTTTTTTTTTTTTCAAGCATCTATTTTCGTGCACACCCACTATTTTAAAACGATTTGTATTTGAAGTTAATGTAATAGTCTTAAACATACTTAATCTTTAGAGAAGCATCTTTCCAAACATTTGCTCATTTGTACATATTGTCATGACTTGTGATATTTGTACTTGCCACACATAATTACCTGATTAAAATGGAAAATTGCAAACATAATGCCCGGCTAACAAATGTTTGACCTAATTTTCAGATGTCCTAGAGTTCTTCTGATAATATTGAACATGTTCTAGATTTCTTCTGATAATTTTTGTTACTGCCAGCTTAGTCACGGCGTGTTTTAGCGTTTTTTACAGGTCATTACGTTTCAAATATTTGATATTCTTAAACATATCAGTGAACATGTCATATGAACCATTTACAGTAGTTTAAAATCAACTTCTGCCTTAAAAAATTAAGGGATAGAAACATTTAAAATTTGAAGTTTAGAAATAATAATAATAAAAATAAATACATTGTATACATTTGATTTATCTTAAAAGTGGCGGCTACAATTATCGATATCTTATCAACATTATGATTATTATAATACTGCTTGTTTTGTGAACATTAGTAGAATAACCGATGTTCCGTTAGCCAGCCAGATACACGTAGCTTCCTCACATAAAAAAATCCAACATCCCTGAAAGGACATAAACCCATAGCGGAAAGGGACAATTGCTTTGAAATCAGCGACTTGCATTCTACAAAAGTTCTAGAGAGCTGATTAAAGCACGAAACTACATGTCAATTTATATTTTAGTTTTTGTTACGAGTGTTACAAGTAAATTTCGGTGAAGAAAAGTAGTACAATACTTACAAAGAACATGGACTTCAACACTGCTTCTACTTGAACCATTCTGTATTCTCTCGGTTGCGTTCATTGTATTTGTAACAAGACACGTATAATTTCCTGCATGCATTTTGTCTGTCACCAGAATTTGCAATGTTTTATTGAAAGTCACTGGTATGTGTTTTGCTTCCCATTGATAAGTTGGAGGGGGCTTACTTTTGCTTCTACAATCCAACAACAATTGTTCGCTTTGTATGATATATATATTTCCTGACACATTCAATGATTCATACGTGAGTATTGGTATGGTAGGAGGATCTTCAAACAAAGAAAAATAATTAGTTAGTTTATACTTAAATGATTTAATGATATAACTGGAAATAAAGCTAAATTAAAATATCCTTATATTTGATATATAGCCGACAAATACAATGTTCAGCCCTTGCTTATATGTCTTAATTCAAAATTCATACATATTGTAAATTTATAAATATTAAATAACACGTTCATTATCAATTAGAACTTATTGGATTTAACAAGTGTAAAGTTCAAACTTACATAAAACACTGACATTGATAGACACAGAGTCATTTCTTTCCATTTGTATGGACTGACAAGTGCATGATCTATCAGTGTCAGACATTGCCCGCCAAGTCAACGTATTTGTGGTAGATTCTGCTGTCGAGAAACTGCCAGAACTTGTATAAATTTCATTATCAAAACATCTAGTCCATGTCAATAAAGGCTTTGGATTTCCGCCAGTGATTTTGCAAGTTAAAGTACCTGTGTTATTTTCAATTCCATAATAAATTCCATTTGAGAGAAATCCATTTATCATTAGCGTTGTATCAGGTGGATCTGAAATAATAATTAAAACATATTTGTTGAAACAAAGGAAATAATAAAAAAACAGAAGACAAACTACAAACAATGGGATTTAAAGCTAAATAATTAATTCACAGTCATGATGAAAAGACAATTTCAAGTTAAACTATATGAAGATAAAATAGAAAAAAAGAAAGAATCCCCTGAGAAGACTCAAAACGGCAAAAATTAAAAATATTGCATGCTCAGTTTGACTGAGTCTGTTAGACTTACATGTGACATAAAGTGATATTAAACTTGATGATATTTCTTTCTTTTGCACTTCCGACCCGATGACAACACAATAAAGTTTCCATCCGTTGTATGTTCTGTTTGGTTTGTAATTAAGAGCACTCTCCGCTGAAGTCAAACCTATAATGTTAGATTTATTTGTTTGCTCTCCAGTTAATTGCAAATGGCTGCGATCCTTTAAAATCCATTGAATCTCGGGAATCGGCCGGCTGTAAGAAGTGTTGCAAGTAAACATTGTTGTGTTGTTTTCAGAAATCTGTATCGACTTCTCGGTAGGCGTGATAGTCAATGTTTTGACTGGAACTAAACGCACATTACATATCAATACCTTCATATAACACATCCGATATTGAAATTTGTAAGAATATTGCCTTATCTCCAGTTTTGATTTTCTTTGTATTTTAGATTATATTTATCCATTTTAGGAATGTGTTTATTTATATTCTAATTTGCATAAACATTAAAACATTTTGTTATGAGGATATGATTCTACTTTAATAAACATCAATTCCTGAGAGGATATGTATTGCTGTTAACCCTATGGTCATCGGCAGTTGTAACACATCTTCATTTATTATCAGGGTGTCGAACGTACAGCGATGCGATACTCCTTTAAGCGAGGTGAAATCATGCGATACGGACGAATGGCGGATTTATTCGTGTAAACACACGTCAGAGTGAGTGTATTTTATTAATAAGTTTATAAATTTACGATTACAATTGCATATTTTGTATTGTAGATGTGAAGATAGGACCGACACACATTTCATCAAAATTAAAGAGGCTTAAACTCATTATTAAAAAATTTATTGAAGGTAAACTGACGGCAACTGATTTCGTGTCGGTGAATAAAATCGCTTAAAGCAAGCTTATAATAATATACTTAATTTCCTTTTTTTTATTATATAAGGGTAATCATAATTGAGTTGCATAGCAAGTACCTTTGTGCTCAGATATACATAGAAGCTTACTGGTCAAAATATTTAATGTATTCTTGGTTTTGGTGCGATAAAATATCTGTACGCTGTTAAAAGTTCATCACATCTGTTGTACCTGTTTCCCTATAATTACACTAAGATATATACCATATATATGTCCGTTTCCGGATTTCTGAAAAAAAAGTTTTTATATCTTCTACTTTCCTTAAGGATTTACTTCAAATAAAAGTTTGGTATCACAATCTATATAAATGTTATTATTTGAACTAAATTTTAATAGTTAGATATCTACCTGTGATAATAAGTAGTTGGAAAAAGTAGCCTTTACTCTAAAATCTTAGATATCTATAGTTTGTGTTCTCTCATTTTTTAACAGCATTCATAGTTTCTGTATCTTCATTCAAAAAAAGTTTCGCCCTTTTCAACAACAAGAGTCTTGTTTTTTGTACTGTATCTTGTTTGTGATTTATTTTTCCTTTTGATCATGGAACTTGTGTTACGTTTTTTCTGTAGTCTAATTTATTACTGAAGAATCTATGAAATTTAGATGTGTTGTTTATTTTCCACTTTCGTTCATCTAAGATATGTCCGACATATGATTTTGCCAAATTATTTCGAGCTTATTAAATGAGCGCTTTTTGCGTTGAATGCATTCCTGCGAATGTTTGTATCCGCAAAAAAGTTGCATGTAGCAAATTCGCGAACATTTATAGCTTAGAACTTCCACAGCGCTCTTCATTCAAAATCAAAATGTTTTGTAACTCCAACTTGCCACTAAGGCAAGAAAAAACAGCAGTTCCCACACATTAAGAAAGGCACTAGCTTGAATAGGAGATCAACAGAAGCATGTTAAAGGACTCTTTATGGACCTTAACAATAATAACACAGTATATGCTATCATTCCTTATACCATGTTGTACATTTCATTCTGCAACTTTTATATGTTGATATAATACATTTTGTAGTTTATTTTTATTTACAAAGTAGGGATAGTAGGTTTTTTGTAAAAAACAGTAAGAGTATGGCAAAAAAGTAGAAAAGTATACAAAAGTAGGACTAATTTTAAGCATGTATAATAAAAGTGCCACAATGGCTTTAATTTTTGACTTAAAATGACTTTGAATAAATAAGGGTAATCTTATAGCCTTTGTCAATGTTTTTTTTTTAATTTATTAAGTAATTTATAATATCCAATCCATAGATGAAAGCAAACCATTATTGTTTCATAAAATTTCAAGACCCATTGCAAAAATAACAGCAAAAAACCACAACAACACAATTTATTACATGTACTTCCCAATGTATTGAATGAACATAAAAACGGATGTGGGCTTTTTTCCGATTAGTGCATGTAATACAATAGTAGATCCACTTCTCATATTTCTATTGTTTAAATAAAGTTATTTTTTCTGAAAACATAAATATGTAATTAATAAAAGAAAAACATATTATTAAATGATAAATCCTTTACTGAATAAATGGAATAAACAAAACGAATATTATCGTTACTATTGGTTATTTGATAGAATTTCAAGTTTAGAATTTCAAGTTTCTGCGCAATAACTTATCTAATTTTAATATTTAACCTTTGTGAAAAAAGAATATTTAACTTACATATCATAGTAAAATACATTAATTGACACTGATGTTTTAATTGTCACAGTGATTTGCATATGGTTAACATACAAACACAGGACTTCATCAATATTGAATAAGAATGTACTGTAATGAGGAAGTCCCTGTCGCTACAGAAAAACACACCAAAATGTGTGCGTACAGTTGGTTTATCGAACCAAATATTAGGCGTACGATAAGAAAACTGGAAACATTGACTATATTTTGGATAGATATGGAACACTTCTCTTGTGTATCGTATTGTTATCAAAATTAAACATGTTGGGACTTAATCTAATCGAATATCTCGTTTTAAAACTACTGATTAATTATTCATTTTCATGTGCTTATCAGGTTGACGGTTGAATTTGCAGCAACAAATACCTGAATAACTTTAAATTCTCAATACTATAAAATTTAGTATTTTATTTTGACGATCATGCACAACTATAAGTTCTGATCAGCATGCACAAAGCTATTCTTAAAGAAATTACAATATACAACAAATATTTGAAAACAAACATGCTCGTAGTCACTTTCGTTTTAGCTTTCGTCGGCCATAAGTCCGTATCGCATGATTTCACCTCGCTTAAAGGAGTATCGCACCGCTTTACGTTCAAACCCCTGTATTATAAATTGCCAGGTAAAAGTATATTAATTTACATTCATTTTTCGCTGAATTTATGCATTCATATCATTATAATAAATCAATTTCATTTTAGTTTTACCTCATTTGACATAAACAATTGTGTTTAAAATGAAATATTGAATGCAGTTTATTCTTGTTCAATTGGTACCTAACAGATTTTATAAACCATTTCTATAATTTTTAACAAAAATAATACATAACTTAAGCTTGAAATTTTGACTATGATAGGTTATTTCAATAAGAGCGGACCGATAAATCCATTTATAAATATTGGATAATAAGATACTTTATTTTTATACGTGCCTTTGACAAATAAAGATGCTCTTTGATTTAGGCTGTATGTCATATTTACAACTGTACAAAACCAGGAAGTATTGTGATCAGCACTTGAAATGTTTGGTATTTGTAAAGAAACGGTTGTTTCGTTCTTAGAATCGTTATCACAAGTACACGCGATTCTGTCTTGTGTTGCCGTTAGAGCAAAACAATCACGTGTTGTAAATGCGCATATATTACTCCCATCTTTTCGTTTCCATGTCATTCTTAATCCTGTTCCATTGTGAACACATTTGAAGGAAACGTTGCTTTCATCAAAATCATCAATTACTTTTGGTATGATCATGACATCTATTGATAGATATCCTAATTCATGAACAACAAAGCAAAATATTGTTAAATATATGTCTCAAACGTATATTAGTTAATCCCCTGCAATATACCGGTATCCATGTTTACATTATGAATAAAAAACGATTGTGCATCTCATTTTTCAACTTTTAATGAATGAAATATTAATATAATTTAAAGCGTTCGAAATAAAGAGGCGGACGTATTATTGAATTGAATTATTTACGTTAAAATTGGGTTTATTATGCTGAAATTTGAAAAAGAAGTATAAGGATAGGAGTAACTTGTGTTAGAAGAACACAACCATTATAATTTTAAAACAAATACGGTACTAAAAGTATGAAGATTGAATAGTTTCTTTATGTTTATGTGATCAGAAGCAATCAAAATTGATTATCCAGCAAAGAAGGGATCAGTACTAAAACACCCATCAATTAGAATATCAAAGCAAAAGCAAAAACATGAAACAAAAAATGGTTCAAAGCTATGAAATGGGATCTTCGTAAGTACCTTCATAGTTTTATTTTCCCATCACATATAACCATGTTATTTCTTGATTTTACATAATGCGGAGTTCATTTATATGTTGACCTATATTGTCTTTAACTTAATCAAAGTTAACTGAATAAGAAGAAAATACACAAATGTACATATTTGCTTCTCATTGACTACACACATAAACAGAACATATAATTAATATATAAGTTACCATAATACTACATAGATATTTATATTGGAAATTAAACAGTAGTTCTTGTTCGATTAATTGTTGCCAACAATTATCAAAATACAATTTCAAATATATGATGCGGACTATTAAGAACTACATTGACATGAAAGGTGCTATGTAGGTATTTGATAGACGCATGACCTCCGCTTATGTCTCAAATACTACACGACCCCTTTCCATTGAAAAGTATTATGAATTGAGGGTAAATCAATGACATTGAATATTTACATTAATTTGACCGACATAAATGTAAAATAGTATAAATGTATTTAAAAGGTCATACCTACATTTCACATTGAATCACAAATACATTTTTTTACCTTGATTTAAAACGGCCATATAAATCACAAAACATAACCAATTATTGAAATGTAAATCCATTTTCAAGATTATTTAAACCTTTTTTCCAATAGGTTTAAACACTTCGTCCTGGCAATGAAATTTTGTTATAAAGCTTTTAAAAATTAGCAAACTGTTCACAAACTTCCTGGTTTGCATTAAAGGTAAAATTTCAAAGGTTTGTTTTTATGACGAGTATCCTACATAATTGCAGTGACAGTCTGTTGCACGCACATACCAGGTTCAGTAATATCAATGCGGTGTTAACATAACAGTTTACTTTTAATGTTTGAACAAACGAAATGAATACTTGCACGCTACAAACTAATGAATTAAAGTTTATTTAGCATACTACATAATAATTATATTCAATACAATGAAATGTAATTTTAAGACTCAGTGTCCTACACATCATGCAAAAGAGAGTTATTTGTTTCACAATGCACATCTTTGCAATGTAAAAATATGTAAATTGTGATGTTGAACCGTACCTCCTACATATTGTAAAACTATTCACTTCTTTTCCCGAACATCTTTGCATTTCTGAAGTTTAAACTTATTTCTATAAATGCCCCATGAACATAAGAAAAAAATGATAGCAAAAGGCAATACACCTAATGTAATAAATATGAAAGGTTGTAGCAATAAACATTTCTTCAATTCTTCTGTTTCTTTCTTTTTTTTTTGTATCTCTCTAGAAGTGGGTTATTCGTAACTGGATGTATCAATATAAAAAAAACTATTCAATTTACTGAAAAAAGTACTTAGTCCGACAAAGATTGCTTAGATATATATGTTGAAAACATATTTGTTTGACCTTTTGTTTGAAATTAACACAAGGAGCTATGACTAAACACGGACCGAATACGAATTTTATTGTTTGTTAATTAAACATCTAAAAATTTATTGCATTAAACTTATATCAGGTCTCCGTAACTTAATGTCACGTTGTCTCTATTTTCCCATTTGTATGTCCGTGTGTTCGGAAGAATCTACGTGTCGATATTGAAATGTCAACCCTGCATGTGTTTCTTATAGTATCATTGTATCACATTTTTATATTCCTAAATGTCATGGTCAAAAACATTTTGACTGTTTTAATTTGTTTGGTATAACAGTCAAGATTGGACATATTTAGGTATATCATTGCACACATGTAGCCTTCGAAAACAAATACAGGCAACGAAATTGCGCAGCAACAGTAACTCGTCATGCTTATTGTATTGTTATCATGCAACATTAAGTTCTCTTGGTTACAGGTTTTATAAACACTTTCTAACATTTATTTTATAATTTGCTATTTTAACATTTATAGATCTACTTAGAAAATCATTATTTATGTTATTACATGTATAAGTGTTTTAATGGAAAATAACACTTCCCATCAATTATACCTACCTTTTACATAAAGTACTGCCCCTTTGCTCTCTACACCACTTAAGGAAAGTATCATACAACTAAAGGACGTATTATGATCTTCCCTTGAAATAGTCGATATTTGTAAAGTCAGTATTGTGTCACTAAATGTTTTGAGACAGCTGCAGTTGAATTTATTATTTGTTGGAAGCGAAATTACAATGCACGAATCTATGTCAGAGTGGCAAATGTTATTGTCATTAATGACCCATCGAATTCTTCCCGCAGTACCATTGTGTAAACATCTGAAGCTTGCTGTATTGCCTGTAATTTCATCTAAAACTGAAGGGAATATTCTTACAGAAGACTGAACTGTAATGAAAATGGCATTACATTACATCATAATATAATCATTAAGATATAACGGTAAAGAGTTAGTAATAATATGAAATCAACACATGTCTGTCATGGTAAAAGTGCATGAAAGCAACCCGAGAACTGAAGTAACATCCGATGCGGGACCGAAGGGTTTATTGCAGTTCGATGGTTGCTAAAATTTACCCTGAGAGACATGTGTTATTGTTTACAGAACACCCTTTTTCAGTAAAACATTTTTTATATTTTAAACTGTTTACGTAAATAGAGCGGCAAGTGGGAGTATTGCAAAAACGTCACCTGTTTACTATTTCCTGGATGATAGATCAAAATAACTATCTAGAAAAGAAAAATGTTTACGTGTAGTAAACTGAAACAAAACACACACTATCTTGTGTATAACATGTAAATGTATATTCTGTCATACATTTATCCATATATTGTTATTTCTTGGATTATTTGTTATGCAAAAGCGTCTCAGAATGAGGCATATGAAACATAGAGTTTGTAATTACAACAGGAATAGAAAAATCACAAATGAATAAGTGTTTTTGAGAAAATACAAATTGGCTGTTTACTGAAAACTGTTTGCCAATAATTTGGGTTAAATATTTTATAAAACCAAAACATAATTATGTTTGTATGTTGAAATATGGTAATTATGTATCCATGTCAACACTGCTATTAATATTGATATAGGTAAACAGTACACTTGAAAATTCAACTCTTCGTAAACAGATTAATTCAATAACAGGCTATATTTATATAACCGTTTAATGAATTTTAAAGCCACAATTACTTTTATATTCACCTTCATTAGAAACTGTCATGTAAATCACAAAACATAACCAGTAAAGTGAACCCATTTCTCGCCTTTTTAAACTTTCCTTTCATAGTATCATCACACTTATTTTGTTCATAAATTAACTTCCTCGTTTGTATTGATGGGTACACTAAACGGTATAAATTGTAGTCAATACCCTACACACTCGAAATCTGATATATGACTCATTCGTAATAGTACAAACTATTTTTTTATATAATATTTTTGTCTCATTGAAAAAAAGATAAGTCTTCGCTGATAAGCAACTTATTCAGAATACAAAATTAACATAAATGTTTATGTAACAACCGTAATCTATTAGTTGATGTTTAATAATATTGCGCGCGAATAGCTTTCAACACATTTGATCTTTTAATGAGCTATATTTTAGCTATTTATATAATATATGTACCGAATGAAATATTTAATATTTAACATATATTGAAAACACACATTTTTTCGTTCAATTTACATTTAGATAATATGAAAAGTCAAGGGATTAATGTAAACTTAAATTATCTTTCCAAACTTTTGAGAAGAAAGAAAATTAAAGAAACAAAATCATATAAATAGTTTATGCAGAGATTATTCCTTTTATCACATTAAAAATATGATTGAATACTGTATCAAACTTGATTTTTGCCCAGCAATTGTAAATAGTATTAACGTTACTGTGAAAAATAAAACGTGTTACGACGGTAAGGGTCATAAGGGTACAAGAGTTATCTCCCTTAAATAATTGTATACTTACTTACGTATTATATACTTTATATTTGACTAAAATTATTTTGAATTTTCATTACATTTCCTGAAACTAATATTATTATATTACTAACTTAAAACAAGCCTGAAATAAGGACTTTAAACAAACGTAAGAATTGAAGATTTACGTTTTAATATTACTATTCAACATGCACTATGTACGCTATAGCTTCATTTCTATGAGTCTATTACAAAATAAAATAATAGTGATGTAATTTCGAAAAGTTTTCGCAAAACATATACCATATATAGACGGTGTAACATAAATGAAACATTTTCTAAATAAGCTAAAGTTAAAGTAAGTTAAACTAATTTGTTTTGTGAAATTATTGTAACTAATATACTGTACCACAATCCTCAAAATAATACATTTCTGGGACCATGTAAATATAAATACGAGTCAAAAGGTAAAGGAAATATGTCATTAGCCCAATTTTGAAATGAAAAAAAAAGGTAGGAACAATGTCCCTATTATATGATTCTAACTTTTCAGTGAATGGAACAAAGATATGATGTGAAAAAAGTCGACAGTATGCAATTGTTATAATTCAGATATTTTAATAAATCGTTTAATATGTAATATTCGAATGTTAATTATTTTATTCAAAATCTGTTTGTCCTCATTAGTTGGGTGATTCGTTGAAACTAATTAAGAAAGTCTTGGATCGTTTAAAACTTGAACATTTGCATTGATAAAAAGTGTGTGTCAAACCTGTAATCAGCTAAAGAAATTAAGTGTGCAAGAAACTTGATTGACTACCGCTTTATTATAAGATCATGATCATGTGCCACGCATTTCATTCTCCTCAAAAATTCACGTCTTTTGCATGTACACTAAATTTTAAGGTAGAATTTTAGGTTAAAGACAAACTTTTTTTTCTTAATTTTCATGACAATAAGCATGAACCTGAAGTCATTCTTCTTTGAGACGTTTAATGTAAGTATGAATGAAAACACTCCTTTTACAATATTGCATAATAACTTTGACGAGTCATCATAGACATATTGTGTTCTCCCTTTAATTGTGAGCTTTGCTAAAGTTAAAACACTACTGCAATGTTAATGGAGTCTGATTGTGTTGAGTCTGATTGTGTTCAATCCTGTTACCAACACTGTTAAGATGATACGGTGACACTCAAGCATTGTCGGCTGCCAATATTATTCGCCTTAATCTTAGCGTTAATGCAACAAATATTTTTGTTTACACGCATGTATCTGTTATGTTCTTTTAAATCCTAAAAATTGAATTTGTCCTGTCTACAACTAAGAAGGTATTTGTTTTGTGTGTGTGTGTGTTTTTATAATATAAGTGTGATAAGTGGTTTTTAATGGTTCTGATCTACTGACGGACCATTTCATCTTGTTCTTTGGTTTATAAGAGTTAAAGTAATGTAAATGTTTTGAAAGAATTATTTTGAAAATCATTTGTTCTCAATAAAAAGCAAATCATTTTCTCGGATGAATATATATATATATCACTTTTGATATCGTCTTCTTGACAAGACCGACCGAATGTAGATTAAAATTATGTATGAGAAAACACTTTTTAATAGGGATCAAAGAGGCGACATACATTGAATACTGTTAAGGAAGATTATAAGGGTAAAATTTGCATAATTGAAGTAAAAGTTCTCGGGAGTATCGGCAATGGATCCGGATTGTATTTTAGTGTCATATTTAAAGATGTCTGCCTGTCTTCCAATGTTATCCGTTTTATGTATTTACATTAAATTTGAATTGTATGCGAACATTTACATGTTGCAAATTTCAATTCTTCATGTAACTATCTATACATTATCTTTCGTGTTGAATCATTTTTGTTTTCGGATTTTGGCAAATAAACTGAGAGATAATGAAAGACAACTTTTAAACGAGCAGTTATTTTTGCACACGTGTATTTAAGTATTATGTTTGGAACAAAAATATATTTTATCATAGGGATATACAACATACAGTCAATGCTATTGTAAACGAATATAAGAACACATGGTTAAATTACATATCATCTATAAAAAAATAAAACATTTTTTCTTCCTGTTTATTTTAATTTAAAATATTTTTCTTCCTGTTAACCAAATATTTTAGGCAATTTATTTCAACACGCAACTTTTGTCAAGTGTGTTCGTACTTGTGTTCGTCTCTGTATGAGAAATAACACGTACACGAGTAAGGTGTATTTGGTTTATATGCATATTTGAAATTATAATATTCGTTATGTTTCTTGTATTTGCTAAGTAAATATTTAAATAATTTTACATGTTTTCAACTAAGTGTACTGCCAATGTGATTTCATAAATATCAATCTTTAATCCTCAATAAAGTTTGCTACAAAGTTTAAACGTCGAAACTTACATAGAGAACACATTTTATAAAATTGTTTTCGCTTCTTTGCCTTTTGAAAATTGTTAAACAATAAATGACAGCTTGTGTGCGAATATATTCTAAAACCTGTCTTACAAAATAAGTATAGCTGAATTGTAAATGATGATTTTATAGTTTCACGTATATAATTTTATATCATCTTGTACGTTAAGTTTACGCGGGTGATAAAGTATTGTACTAGTTTTTAAGGGTAAAGTATTTATATGTTCTATCAATATTCAATCCTCATTAAAGTTTGCTACAAAGTTTAAACGTCGAAACTTACATAGAGAACACATTTTATAAAATTGTTTTCGCTTCTTTGCCTTTTAAAAATTGTTAAACAATAAATGACAGCTTGTGTGCGAATATATTCTAAAACCTGTCTTACAAAATAAGTATAGCTGAATTGTAAATGATAAATCTTGTACGTTAAGTTTACGCAGGTGATAAAGTATTGTACTAGTTTTTACGGGTAAAGTATTTATATGTTCATATTTATATAAATATTGGACTGGACGATATTTCGTTCTTTTTCGCCACTAGAAAGACTTATTTTAGTTCCAACTCCTGTACCAGTTTCTGTCTCCTTCATACTATGGAGCTGAGAGTACTGGTTAACATCTTTTCTATTTTCTGCTAGTTTCTCATATGTAACTGAAATGTCGCTTTCGTCTTCTATTTCTGAAATTTAAATGAGGTATTTTATCAGACACAAATAAAGAAAATATAGACCTGTTCTTGCATTACATACATACGTACGTATAGCTACAAATTTGAAACGAGACTGAGAATAAAGTTAATGAAATGTAAATATTTTTCCTGAGTGGAATGACCTTTTCTCCTTGTTATAAATTTGTGTTGAGAAAAGGTTTCTCACTTTAAAAACACAAAAACACAATTGCTTGTTTACAATTAAAAGTATTATTTCTGTCTCACCTTTATCGAATTTTTGTATTTCCTTGACTGTGCTTTCCACTTTTTTAACATTCATACCTACTTGTTCATACGTTTTGTCATTACCTATCTGTTGATTGATTTCACCTATTAAGTAGAACATTTTAATTTCAATGATAAGAAATTAAAGTATATCATGTAATTCAAGAAACACGACAATGCCATGAATCCGGTTTTTGAACAATTGCTACTGAAAGCAAACGACATGTACTCAGTAAGCTTAATACACAAGACGTCTTTCTTCTAAAGATCTATAACCAAATCTTTCAAAATGATACCTGATAGATAACATCCTTTGTGTGTAGTAATAATACTTACCCATTACAAAGTTCAATAATGTAATGGTATGTGTTTATGAAGAAACAACATACTTATCTTTCAAACACCATAATGTTAACAATAAATCCTAGTGTTATTCGATGCTTAATTATCGGTAAGATATTAATATTATCTTTCAATTTTGTATTTCATAACTTAAAATTAAAAATGATTTATCATTATTATTGCAAATGCTTATTATGTGTATTACAATTACTTTCTTTAGATACAATAATTCATCACTTGCATTCAAATTGATGTATCTGTGAAATGTCCTTTATCATCCAATTTGAAATAAAAACCAATGAATAACGTACGCACAACGTTTAAAGAAAACCATTAACTGTCATCACTTCACAACAATGGAATTACAATTAATGCTTTTATTCTGCGCCGTTTAAGTACAATAGTCTCTTAATTAAAAAAAGAATAAATCCTTAAACCATTTTATTTGTATTTGGATTGTAAGGCTAGCAAATATCTACGATAATTGTTTGTATTAAATTTTAACCTGACCCTCGTAATACATTATATTATCGCAAACTGATTGCTTTGTAAGTTATATAACAATGTATCGTTCCTTACTTAAGTAATCCATCGAGAACATAATTATTTATATTTTAGTAATAGAGACCATGACCTTGACGAGTGGTCCTTAGTGAGGTCACAAAATAAGCTTGTTATATTCTTGATTACAATATTTTATTTCTTTCTTAAGTCTCCAAACGGAAACTATTTACTTTTTTTATTTTAGTGATTATAGTGACATTGACATTGCATTTATGTTCCATATTAATCCTAAGCCAAATCTTCAAATAACCTTGTGATCTACCTTTCTTTGATTAATTGAATAAATTGCCAGTTATAATTACTGATTATGTAAATATATAAAGGGAACGTAAAGGATATTAAAACTTAATTTGAGGAATCAGTTCAAGTCAAGCTAAAGTAAGCCCGTTTAATGAGAGAATTTTAAAAAAAAAATGAAGAAAAATCAGGTTTGTTATTTTAGCTCAACTTATTCTACTTAAAGGTCTAGTTAACACCAGATACAATTTAAGATTTCACTCTACCTGATACATTTTGATACGAATGGTTAACATCTGTCTCTCCTGTTTTATCCTAAAATTAAAAAAAATCAGTAAAATGTTTATGTGTGTCGGTTATGTATAAAACATCATTGTCATTTATTTGTAAATCAGCAGTGTCATTATCATCTTTCAAATTGCATGTTTCGAGTTATATCAAATTAAATGATTCATTGAGATAAATGTTACGTTTCACAATATGTGAATAGTATCAAGGATAAAGTAAGTGCACTCCGACACAATGGAATGAGGAACATACCTTCTGCACAAAACCACACTTACACTAGTTACAGTTGTTACAATGAAAATTAAAGCTATTGTTAATCCAATAATGAGTCCAGTTTTGGCAAGTTCATCAGACTGTGTTGAGGCCGCTGAAAAAATGAATTAGCTTATTATTATTACTTTGTAACATTCCATGTTTTAATTTTACCACACTTTGTATTATTTGCCTGTTTCCTTTTCTTCTTAGTGAATCAAGTATCTCCTATAACACTCGTCCAAATCAAATAAAGATTTAAAAAAAATACCACCCTGGATGAAGAAGTTTTGTCACGTGACCACAAATGCAAACGCCGATTTAACATTTCAGCAATTACGGACCCGATTTCAGGTAATTATTTGAAGATATCTTTTTTTCTACTGCATCCACAAAATTATGACCTAGACCTTAGGACCCGGCCTTAATTGAGCTTTTATTTTATATATGTAGTAATTGCGAGACTTATGTGTTCTTTTAAAACACTTCGACACAAATTTTCTTTTTGCAAGGCAAACGCCGATAGGTTTTTAACTTTTCTTATCTTTTTTGTTCACTGGAAACCCATGTAGAGGGAAAATAATAGAAGATATATGTCTTTTTACAAGTAATGTTCGTACCTAACTAATCTATAATTTCATTGGCAAGGTTATATTGGATATAAACCCATGTTTTCCACTTATTGTCGATTTGCAAACGTCGGTTGGTCATGTGAAATATATGCAAGCGCCCGTTGATGTCTTTTTGAACGCTGAACTATATCCGTCTCATTTCCAGAGTTCTTCATCATATGAAACAATTTCATTGCAAACTGGTTCTAACAACTCCATTCTGGCCACGACGCCCATGGTTTCCAGATTTATTGAATCTATCGGTAGCTCAACCGTTATGTCTTCTATTGGTTACAAATCTGTTAATACAACAACCAAATCTCAGATATGTCATCCAAATCCAGGTGTTCTGAAACTGACTGCATGGTTGCTATGGACAGACAGTTTAGAGAAAAAGGTTTTTTTTTTCCAAAGCTTCTTACAGCCATCTGAAGAACTGGTACTCAGAAAGATTACGACAATTTATGATATGGTGTCGTCAAAAGAATATTGATTCCTTCACAGCATCCTTAAATACTTGTGCTGATTTGTTATCAGATATGTACAATAAAATAAAGGTTTACAGTAGGTTACCGCTCTATTTTATCTGCAGTTTTACCTCCAGTAGATAACACTGGTTATAAAAGTTTGTTATTGAAGAAGAAGAATGTTTTAAAATAAAAAGAAGGAGAAAAGAGAGAAGTCTTTTGTTCAGAGAATTGTAATATTTGCAACTTGACTTAAATAACCACCGGTTTATAAGAATCTTACACCGGCTGCCGGTACAGACCGGAATATCTGTCGAGTTTCCGCTAAACAGTTACCCGAGAGCTGGATATTCCCGTCTGTACCAACAGCCAGTGTTTGATTCTTTTTCTTGCATATTACATGTCAAATATTTCCGGAACAGAAATTATAAAAACTGATATATATATATATATATATATATATATATATATATATACTTATATATCTATATATATATATATATATATATATATATTACGCACTTTTCTTATAGTAGCGTATAACATACAGCTTCATTCATAAGGAAAATGACGTCATCCTAAGAACGCGATTCATTCATCATAAAAGGCGCGCGTCAATGACGTCATTTAAAGCACGCGACTTGTCTTACATGGGGGTGTAAGACAGAGTTTTCCAGCACCGATGTAAACGGTAGATAATCTTGTCTGAGATGCAAGAAATATATATATTTAAAGACGTTTTCGGGAGTTTTCATATAGACATATAGACAAAATAAAAACTGTTCAAAAGAATTTTTTTAACTTGGCTTGTTGAACAGAAACATTTTAAGCGAAAAAAAAAATTGGGGTCACCGTTCTCATTTTTGAGATATCTGCCCTTGAAATGGACTTTTTTGTTAAATTCAAGGGCAGATAATTTACAATGAATGGTAACAAAACAATTTTTTCTTCCTATTTTCATGAAGCTTATCTTCGTTTTAGTTGAAATGCAAAATTTCAAGAACAAACTTAGAGTGGGTAGTTTTTACATCAACTTCTTTTTTTAACCTGTGCATTTTTTCTAAAAAAATGGACTAGATCTATTTTTTAAAAATTTAAAGTACCTTTATTTTCATTGAAAAAAATTAACAGAAACGATGTAAGGAATTGCATGTTATTATGTATTATAGCATAAAATCGGCTATTTTTTCCCTCTTTTGCCAATGTTATAACGGGACCAAAACCATGTGTTAACATAGTCACGCGCTCTTGTTATAGCCCGGTTTCACCTATGATTGATTCGAGGGCCTCAGTCGCATATTCAAGTAACTATGCCGGAAAAACGGCGTATAGACATCGGTGCTAATATTGGTTGTCGCCCTTTCTAAGAAACACGGACAGTTGTCAATGTAAACAAATACAGTAGAATCTACCTGTCATTCAGTTTAACACTCCGATTAACCTACAAAACTAGACAACACAAATTTTTAAATTAATATGAGAAAATGTTTTTTATTTATGTTAATGTTGATAAATGCTCTTTTTATTTCTTTGAGAGAATAATGCTTAGTGCCTGATTTTTTTATAAACTTGTTTGCTTGAAAAAAAAAAAAAACGATTCTGATCAGACTGATGTCACTGATCTTTTTTCTACAGTAAATCTGAAATCATTCTAAGAATTTCTGAGGGTCATGTTTTGTCTTGGGTAGAGGGTAGAGTAGACTCGTCGGACCCATGCTCGCCCAATAAAGGCAATTATTTGATTATTATTTTAATACAATTTGACTTTTAAAAACTTTTTCAAATTTGTTTTATAGCTGGTCATATTCGTTACGTAATGTGACCCATTTAAAACATAAACACTTACATCCGGGCACTGTCTGCCAGGTCAAACACCACCAAATAAATATTGTAAAATGTTGAAGGAGGAGACCCATGCTCGCCCACCGGTATATTACGAAAATAAAACGGATATTACCTGTAATCATTCATCATATTTATAGACTGATTTGTTAATATAAAGCAGGTATTTATATTTTTGCATATAATTATATTTTTACAGAGTAAAACTTATTAAGATATACTTACTATGTACACTTTTCATTTTTTTCAGAAGATAGTCAACTGCTGTTGTTAGAGTGTAACTAAAAAGTTTCTGTGACTAAATATCATGTAGATAATAAGTTTTTTTTTCAAATTCAAAAAGTTAACTAGTAACATGAACTATAAACTATAACAAGAACAACAGTTTGTGGTCTATATTTTCAATAATTACTCCTCTGCACAATATCTACAAAGCCACCTTGTGCTGGTAACTAAACTTAAATCTACATCTGTTTGCACATTAGATGGCAAGCACTCATAGTGGTACCACTTGTCACATTTGTCACACCCTACCCACGAATATTCTGGTCTGTCACCAACCATACATACAACACAAACTTCTTCATTGTCAAGCTGGTCCTGTTGATTGTCATCAGATGCAGGTAACAATTGTGTGTCATTGTTATTCGTAAGTGACAATTAACTCATATTTCTAATGTTTCACTTTTTCTTTTTCTTTTCAGGTTCACTGTGCAAAACAGATCTTGCATTTTTATATGTTTTCCTTTTGGATGCAGACTTTTGCTTGTTAGGAATAGGAGGTTCAACTAATATTGAACTCAGATCCTCAGATATTATACCTAGTTTAACAAGAGCATTTTCCTTAGAGTGTCCACAATGTTCACATACAGATTTTACTTTCAATAGGAACAGATTTGGCTGCTTCAGGTGTTGACTGTTTAGGTTTTGTGTCAGGAATAAGAGCTTTTTACAGCATTTCTCGTTGAAAGGAAATATTCCTGTACATTTAAAAGCTGATGCTACAGTGCTGCCTAAAGTTTTATTGAAAGCCTGCATTAACACCCTCGGGAAAAGATGTCTAGGTAGTGTTTTGATTCCAAGATAACCCAGCTGGGTGGAAATGTCAGCAACTTTTTTGCTTCAAAACATGAAAATATCCTGCATCTTGGGGTTGTAAAAGATGGGAAGAATGTGCTGGTAGATATAGCAAATCTACAGTATGTCTACGTGCTGCATCAATGAATACTTTGGATACATGTGTTGCATGATTGTCTAGTATGAGAAGAACAGGGCGCTTGTCACCAATATATGGAACAAAACTATGTTCAAACCATTGGACAAAATAGATCTGTAGTTATGTAACCCTTTTCAGTTGTAACAAATGTCCAGCTATCAGGCATACCATCACAGACCATCCGAGGTAGACACTGAGAAAAGATAAGCATTGGTGGAGTGGTCTGACCTGCTGCTGATATTGCATTTAAAAGTGTAACATGACCAGAAAGGTTTACCATACTTTGGTATGCATGCCTTGTACCTGTTGGCACAATAACTTTTTTGCTTGGATTTAGCTTGCCTGAAAATCCAGATTCATCGCAATTATATATCCTGGGATGGTTCATTACTTAAATTCAATTTGTTCAGAGTATTTTCCAAGCAAGTCAAAATAATCATTTACAGAACTTTGAGACAAACTGACTCTATTTTGCTCAAGAGGGTGTGCTATACGCACTGATAAAGTGTGATGCCTCTGAAGAAACTTCCTTACCCATTTATCAGAAGGTCCAGTTGTTACATTAACCCTAGAATCTCCCCCTCTTTGCAAAATAATCTCTAGGGCAATTCTTTTTAGAACTGGTCTTGTCAGGGGTACACCCCTTGAAGCCATATATGTTGCATAATTAACTACAGTCAATTCATCTGCAGCATCTAATAATGGACTTTGACCAAATTGTGTTGTATATCCTTTATACTGTCCATTTATATGGACTTTTAGTGTACTATATTTAACTCATTTGCAGCTCTATGTAAAGAATATCTCTCTTGCATTTTCAAATGTCTCGGGATTAAACAAACCATGATATGCTTAGAAATATAACCATACGAATGTACAAATAATATCGACAACAACTGATTCTCGATAATTCATCTGTCTGGTTATATCTTTAAGACATGTTTAAGTTAAAAAACGTATCTAAATTGTGTAGAAAATGTTCTTGCAAACCTTTTTGTTCAATGTAGAAAATGTGAATGTAGGATCCAATGGCATTAGAAATCAATAATTTGTATTCTCCAATATCTGCATTCGTTGCCCGAATAATTGTCATACCAAAATCCAAATCTGATTGATAAATCCGTATATTGTTGCTTTCATTAACTGCAATCCAGGATTGTCCAACAAACTTACTCCATGAGGCACTAATAGGTTTTGGATAAGCAAGTGCTGTAAAGTGGAGGCTTATCGGCATATTTATTTCGGCAATTACATGATCCATTGTTGCCACAGAAGGATTTGGTCTAGGAGAACCTTAAAAGAAGTTATTGATTAAACTTCATATGCAATAATTCTAAAAACTGCAATTTTTAAATGAACATACGTTCAAAACGTGTTCTTATTCGATAATGCTAATTGGCTTAATTTACTAAGTTCGTCTATATAACACTTAATATCATTTTGAAAATCAAATGTAATTTAAAGCAGCTTTTTTGAGTGTTCATCATGTTTTAATTAAATAAGGAAATTAAATAGGACATACCCATTAATAGTTTCAAAATAGTACTAGTGTTTATCGTATAGTTATCATCTAAAGAAACATATATCTTCATTGTGAAATCCCTTTAAGTTACAGTCAAGATTGTTTTTAAAATTATCTTTAAAAAAAAACAAAAAACAAAAAAAAACTTACTTACATTGTACGAATACATTGATATTTTTCTCCGTCGATGCTGCCTTGTTGATATCATTGGAACCTTTACATGTATATACACTATCATGAAGACAACTTGCATTGAAAGTGGTATAGCATATCGCATAATTTTGTGAATAATTGACAAATTGTTCCTTATCCGGATTATTATCATTGTATATTTCACATGTGGGTGTAGGATTTCCTTCTATTTCATATTGTAAACCAACTGTTTCATTTTCCGAAACCGTGACAGAAGTACTTGCTTCGTTGTTCAGAACAAAATATTTACCGGCACGAGCTTTGTCTGCAATCACAACCAACAGCAAATTTAATTGTAAATAAATAAATCAAAATTAATAAAAATAACTGATCAATTCTAATCTGTATAACACAATTTAATGTTTCAGATAACGAACTGGTTATATTTGTTTTATCCTTTTTTTGTAACACAATCAACAATTTGTTTAACTGCAACGTATAAAAGTTATTTGATTCTTCGTCTAATGCCTATGTAAAGACCGGTTTGATTGCATGGCTTAAAATGGCTTTCTCGGGAAATCCAAATTATAAAAAAGGTGAAACATATACGGTCGTCGTCAGATCTACATAAAATAGAACTAGATTTGAACTTTCGTCAGATTGTATCCGATCACACTGTTTTGCATTTGTAAACAATCAATGCCTTGCATTTAATTGATATTCTTTCAAAGGGCATTGCATACTTAAACTTACATTGAACATTAACTGTTACAATCGTTGTCCTTTTCCAATCACTTAATATGTGGTGTGACGTACAGGAGCATGTGTTATAATTGCGTGAAGCTGTCCATTTAACAGTGCTTGTTACTGTACTCCCTTGTGTTGCCGTCGTTGTGTCATTACTGCCAAAACAATTCCAAGTTAATGATGGAACAGGGTTTCCACCAGAAATTGAACAAACAGAATATTCCGTTTCTGACTCAATAACACGAAAAATGTTGATGTTTCCCAATCCAAGTATAACAGGTTTACTTTCAGGCGGGACTTTGATAATAATAATAATAATAATAAATAATAATAATAAATAAAACTTTTAAAAGGATACTTAGGCACTTTAATGACAAAAATATTAAATTGAATTTATGAAATCACGCTGAAATGACAATTTTTTTTTTAAAGTTCCAGCATAAATGTCTGTACAAATTCTATATATTTTGGGTTTGAAGCATACATCTATACACGTTGAACGAAATTAAGACGCCGTCAGAATCACCAAGTAGTTTAAAAACAAGTCATGTGACTTGAAGTAACCGTTGAAGATACAAAAAGACATTGTGGATATTGTATGATTGAAAAAGGTGTTAGCCATTTATTTGACATGTTCGTTAGCGTTTCCGGAGTTCACTGTGACAACTATTGTAAAATCTTAACGCTCTAACCTGACCCACGTGGGTCAAGCTAGGAAACCGCCATTTTATTCTTTATAAGGAGAAATGTTTTGTTCCAGTGACTGCCTTGTGTATTCATTTTGAGGATATTTACAGAATATTGAATGTAAAATTTAAATCGGAGAAATGAAAAGTTTGCCCGTGTTTCCCTTTAAAAAATGTAACACATTAAACAGATTTAACAGATTTATTGACAATGCAGACTTCTAAATAAACTTATCACTCGAAAAATAATAGCATATAAAAGAAATAAGTTAAGGGTGATCAAAGTGTGAACATATATCTTAACACACATACTGAACATCATGCAATTTATTTTATAAATAACTTTGTTCAGTGCATCATTTTATCTGCTATTAACAAAGTCAAAACCCTAAGACAGATACTCATTATTAGTAAACATTTTATCTTAAGAAATAAGAATAATAATGACAAAATCTAAGAATGTCACGATCATATCTTGTATATATAACACACAAGAACCACACTTAAATTTATATAATAGATTTAAATATAATTTGAAGCTATTTAAAATATTTACAATTTTGCTTTGTGAACAAAACTAAGTAATAAATATCTGTATTGCTTTTAGCAGCTTAAAAATCTAAGTAACGTTAGTTAACGATATTGCTCATTTTCTTAACTCTTAATAATATACGAGTGTTGCTAAACAATTGTTAAGGATAAATATGTATGTGAATTATGTCATTATTTTCCAATCAAGAAGGTATGACATAATCGCAGGGGAAGAACTGTTACACGGAGTATGAATTAACATTTTCCATAACTACTTGACAGTTATCTGACAAATTCCTGACAAGTTATCATACGAACTCCATCCTTTGTGTAACAGTTCCTCACCCATGATATTGAATGAATCAATCGTAAAATCAAATCTTATTAAATACGTTTTTTGCCTGTGGTGTAAATTATTAGATAATGTATTAAATATTAGTGAATACCTTTGGAAGGCATACTTTAAAAAAATTATAGTTTAAAATGTATTTATAATCTGTCAAACAATTGTATGTCTTGGAAATTGTAAATTGAAGTTATTTTGAAAGTACGATTCGAATAGCGATGGCGCAATAGTACGATGGTTAAAACGCGATGTTATATCGCGTTTTCACTATCGTACCATCGCGATTTCACCATCGTACTATCGCGTTATCTTGTTTTCACCATTGTACTACAGCGTCTCGCCATTATGTCATCGCGTTTTTACCATCGATGGTACAAGAGTGAAAACGCAATGGTACGATGGTGAAAACGCGATGGCACGATCGTGAAAACGCAATTACAAGATCGTGAAAACGCGATGGTACGATTGTGAAATCCCGATGGCACGATGGTGAAAATACGATGGTACAAAGGTGAAAACGCAATAGCACGATTGTGAAAACGCGATGGTACGATGGTGAAAAACGCGATGGCACGATGGTAAAAGAGCGATGGTACGATGGTGAAAACGCAATGGTACGATGGTGAAAGCGCGATGACTGAATGGTGAAATAGTACCATCGCGTTTTCACCATTCAGTCATCGCTCTTTCACCATCGTACCATCTAGTTTTTATCATTGTAACATCGTGTTTTCACCATTGTACCATCGTACCAACGCAGATTCACCATCGTACCGTGCATCGCGGGTACACACAAAAATTTAATATCAGGATTGTCCAAACGGAACACTGTATGAAAGCGTTATGACTGTAAAATTTTAAATAAGTGATTTGTTTAACGTTTGATTATTAAAGCCTGGTCGACGTAAAACATAAGCTAAGATGTTGGTATTATTACTTGCAGTGTATAAAGAAAACTCGAACTTATAATGTACCATAAATCATTTTAAAGATTTACGATGTGAAAATCAAAATCTTTTTTTTTTGAACGAAACAAAGTGTATTATAACCATCCATGAAGAAAAGGGTAAAAACTTACATGTTACATTAATGATAATATCTCTGCTTGTAATATCAGCTCTACTAGATCGAGTCCACACTTCACAAAACAGGCGTAGGTTATTAGCCGTCCTGTTTAATCTTAAGTCTAGTACACTTTTAACTGATTTGAGGCCATATTCACCATTAACGTAATTGTTGGTTGAAAACTGTGTCAGATTTTGTACGACCTGTCCTGTTCTATTACGGAGATACCACTGTACTCTTGGGTCAGGTCTACATGGTGATGTTGTACATGTAATGATTTTTGTCTGATTCTCCTTTATATAATCCCAATCTTCATTTTTCTTTAATGTTAGACTTACAGCAGGAACTGTAATTAAAAAAAACTTTCTTAGGCTAGTCTCCCCGTACATTTAATCAAAGATGTTATATTTTCGATCCTTGAAGATCGTTCAGCACGACATAATTGTTGTGTATACATGTTATGTGTTATTTTTAGTTTCTTCTATTTGGTCTTTTTCAACTTGGGTGGTTCCAGTATTCCTACTTGAATACTGTCTAATCATCCTTAGGATATGTTGCCTGCTTTTTTAATTGTCTTTTGACGTCTTATCTGTGATATGCAGGCTTCATAACCTCAGATCCCCTTTCAAAATTCCATTTTATTTAGTTCCGCCCATTGTTTTCTCGTTTAGGAAAAGATGATAATAATTCAACATAAATGGTTAAATTGAAATTAAGCAAAAAATGCCATTATTTTTAATAAACCCACAACATTGGTAGAAAATTATCGTACAATAAACGATCCCTAACTTCAGTATGTCAACCAATAACAATATAGTATAATGTGAATATTTTTGGACTGGCGTTTTAAATTAAGCCATGATAGATAACCGTATTTGCGAGATTGTGAGGTATATTCCCTTTGGAAATACTAAGACAACCTGCCGGAAACCTAAACTTTTTCATGTCAGCATTCGCATTCTCAAGTAATTTCAACAGACATACTTTTACAAAGCTACTTCGCATCAACTTTCCGTGCTTTACTACCGTAGTCAATTTGCTTATTTACTGAACGTTTTGATTGTTTGTTTGTTTTATTGGGTTTTACGTCATACCGAAACAGTTATGGTCATATGGTGACGCTCCAGCTTTACTGGTGGAGGAAGACCTCAGGTGCCCCTCCGTGCACTATTTCAGGCACGAACCTGAGTAAAACTACCTTCGTTCCGTAAACTAGCTGTCGGGATTTGAATCCACAGCGGTGAGGGGCAATTGGTTTTTATAGTATGGCTATCACATTGGAGTAGTATTAGAGTGACACCATTTGTAACATTCGACTTCCCAGGCTTTTCAAAACATGTACATTACTATATAATGTTGTGTTTTTTATCACTAACTTATTACATTTGATATGCACCAGGAATATATGACAATTATGTTAATAGATAAAACAATATTAAGTTCATAATTTTCCCATTCATCTTAAAGCAGTGTAAAGTGTATTACTGTCTATGCTTATTAGGCTGATAAAATTGCTGACGGAAACATAACGTAGTGTTACGAGCCAGGCGTAACTAGAAAGAAAAGCCAGCAACAAACTTGTAACAATATAACAAATTTATTACAGAAAAATATTAAAGAAAAATAAAATAACAATTACGTTTACAAATACCTGAAGTCCAAATAAAAGTGAAAATCTTAAATGTCTAGTCTGATCCTGGAATGATCCTTTTTGAATAACACAGTTAAATCCAAGTTAAATCCAAGAACACTTTAGAATAAATTCCCACAATAAAATCCACAAGAATAATTTATTTTAAAATCCAAGCTCCAATAAATCACTTAATATCCAAGTTGAAGAATACTCCAAATATATTGATGACTTAAAAGCTCACTGATGACTTAAAAGGTAACTGATGACTTAAAGTTAAGATTAATGAAAAATGTCTCCTTATATATTAACTAAGAAGTTTCCAGAAAGGTCTATTATGTTCTCAAGTAATCATAATCTAGCAACTTCAACAATAAAGATCATTCCAGAAGTTTCTATCTAAATATAATGCATGAGTTTTCTACAACAGTTAAGAACCTTCTAGTACATACATGTAGTTTATGTTCTAAAAATAGAACAATGATAATATTGGAAAAACCAACTGGTCAGATACAAACTATATACATGTAATATGTTGCATACATAACACTTCCCCTCTTCAAGAAAAAGAAATATGAATGAAATGAATATTTCTTTTACATAAATCCAAACAATGTAACTTACAAATAACATAGGAGAAATGTTAAACAATTTTATACATTCATTCATATATATGTGTATTACAAACAATAGTAAACAACAACAAAAAAAATCAATCATATCATATACATGATTAATTTAAAATACTGCAAATAAGAGTTTTAGACACGTGAAAGTGCATCAGGGATCAAATTATCTTTCCCTTTAATGTGTCTAATGTCAAGACTATATTCTTGCAAAAATAAACTCCACCTCATCAACCTTTGATTTTTGTTTTTAAGTTTATGCAAGAAAGTGAGGGGATTGTGATCACTAAAGACAACAACAGGCAACTTTGAAGAAGTTAGATAAACTTCAAAATGCTGAATAGCAAGAATAAGAGCAAGGCATTCTTTCTCTATAGTAGAGTAATTTTTCTGATGTTCATTAAACTTTTTAGAAAAGTAACAAACAGGATGGTCAACACCATTGTTGTCTTCTTGGATCAATACACTTCCAGCACCTATGTCACTAGCATCTACAGCTAACTTAAAGTTTTTATTAAAATCTGGTGCCAAGAGAACTGGTGCACTCTTAAGTATGGCTTTAAGGCTGTCAAATGCCATTTGACACTTGTCATTCCAAATTGACAAATTTGTCAATGGTTCTGCAATTACCGAAAAATTATTACAAAATTTACGATAATACCCTGCCATACCAAGAAATCGCATCAGTTGTCTTTTACAAGTAGGCACAGGAAATTCAGAGATAGCTTTGACCTTAGCTTCAATTGGTTTTACTTTACCCTGTCCCACTACATGTCCTAGAAATGTTAAAATTGCATGACAAAATTCACTTTTTGCAAGATTAACTGTCAATTTAGCATCACTAAGTCGGTCGAAGAATGCTCTTATAGTTTTGAGATGTTCCTCCCATTCATCAGAGTAGATGATTGCGTCATCAATGTATGCGTCACATCCGCGTAGACCAGATATTACCATGTTTATAAGTCTCTGAAATGTTGCTGGTGAGTTTTTCATACCAAATGGCATGACTTCAAGCCGTCTGGTGTTACAAAGGCTGATATTTCTTTAGCTCTATCAGTAAGTGGAACTTGCCAGAAGCCTTTTAGAAGATCGAACTTTGTTACATACTTTGCTTTTCCAATTTTGTCAATACAGTCATCAATTCTTGGTATAGGAAATGAATCAGTTTTTGTTACAGAGTTCATTTTACGATAATCTGTACACATTCTATATGTTCCATTTGATTTCGGTACAAGAATACATGGAGAGCTGTAACTGCTTTGACTTGGTTCAATAAAGTCATTATCCAATAAATACTGAACTTCTTGTCTTAGGTACTTTTGTTTTATAGGATTCGTTCTATATGGATGTTGTTTTATTGGTTCAGAGTTTTCAAGAATGACATCATGATGTATTTTATCAGTCCGTGTGGGAATATCAGGAAATAAGTGTTCATATTCATAAATAAGCTGTTTCAGTTCATCTCGTTTCGACGGTTCTAAGTGAGCAAGTTTTTCATCCAGATTTTTCAGAATATCAGAGTTTTCAAGCTTTGCTGAACCAGGATCAGACTTTTCAAAATTTTCATAACTATTAGATTCAACTGAACATTGATTTTGTGGAACAGACTTTACAAAAGATATAGGTTTACTAATTTCGCTATCTCTGTCAAAATATTCTTTTAACATATTTATGTGACACATTTGTTTTTGCTTTCGCCTCCCAGGAGTATTGATAATATAATTAAGGTCACTGACTTTCTTCTCAATAGTATAAGGACCAAAGTATCTTGCCTGTAATGGTTTTCCAGGTATAGGTAAAAGAGCAAGTACTCTATCACCAGGGTTCAAACTTCTTTCCTGAGCATTCTCATCATACCTTGATTTCATTTTGCTTTGTGTTGATTTTAAATTAACCCTAGCTAACTCACATGCATTAGTCAACCTATTTCGAAAATCCGATACATACTGAAGCAAATTTAAAGAAATGTCATCTTCAGACAGGAATTTCTCTTTTAGAAGTTTTAAGGGTCCTCTGACAGTGTGACCAAATACTAATTCAAAAGGGCTGAAGCCAAGAGATTCCTGAACAGATTCTCTTACAGCAAATAACAATAAATGGATGCCTTCATCCCAGTCTTTTTCAGTGTCAAAACAATATGACCTAATCATATTTTTCAGAGTCTGGTGAAATCTTTCTAATGCACCTTGACTTTCAGGATGATAGGCTGAAGACCTATATTGAGTAATTCCTAATTCATGCATGACCTGCTGGAAAATACCAGACATAAAATTTGACCCTTGATCAGACTGTACTGATTTAGGTAAACCAACAAAAGTGAAAAATTTCACAAGAGCCTTAACAATAGTTTTGGCTTTAATATTCCTTAAAGGAATAGCTTCAGGGAAGCGCGTAGAAGCACACATAATAGTTAATAAGTACTGAGAACCTGATTTAGTTTTTGGTAATGGACCTACACAGTCAATAATAACTCTACTAAAAGGTTCTTCAAATGCAGGAATAGGCTGTAAATGAGCTTTAGGTATTGTCTGATTAGGTTTGCCAACCATCTGACAAGTATGACATGATTTACAGTACCTAGATACATCTGCTTTAAGGCCAGGCCAATAAAAATGATTGAGAATTTTATGGTAGGTTTTATTAACACCTAAATGACCTGCCATGGGTGTTTCATGAGCCAAGCTTAATATTTCCTGGCGATATGATTTAGGGACCACAATTTGGTGATTAACAGTCCACTCCTCTTCAGCAGGGACATCGGGCGGTCGCCATTTTCTCATTAAAATCCCATTCTTTTCATAATAACAAACAGGGACTTGTAAAGCTTCATCTTCACTAAAAGCCTTTTGAAAAAGGACTGAAATCTCAGGATCATTTTGTTGTTCCTGGATAAGCTGTGACCTTGACAGCATGTCACGACCTTGATCTTCAGATCTTGGTGTAGAAAAATCAGATATTGAAAAATCTGTCTGAGTTTCAGGCAGAGTAGGAGTAAGAGAAAAATTCATTTCATTATCAAAAGACTGACCTATAAAAGTATCAGCTAAGTCAATATCTGAACAATACGAGGGCTGTTCAAAAAGTTCGTGGACTGCGGCTCTACTGTTCACATCTTTTAATTTGCGTATATGATTTTACAAGAGTCATATATGAACCTATGTCCTTAATAAACAGTGAAAAAATCAATACAATATGTATACAAATAAAAATTCTGTGACAGTTACAAATCACAAGGGGTGCACAATCCGGCGCACGCTGATGATGAAACAAAATGACGTTCGTGACGTCGCAATATAAATGAAACATTTTACCAGCGTCATTGTTTCTGAAAGTACTCTTTTTAGTGTTCAATATCTGCGGATCATATACCAAAACCATTTTTCTGTTTGCGATGATGACCCGAGATATAAAGTGGTCATCTATTCGCTCCATTCTTCGTATAAAGGTCCGAGTGCTGCATACTTTCCACTCTTTATCGGGATTTTTGAGTAATTTAGACACTAAACGGACAGTGTTATTAAGTTAATTCAATTGTTGATTGATAGTATCAATTTGAAACCGCCCTTGTCCGATCTTTAAACAATATGATTATCGATGATAAAGAAAATATTTTATCAACTGACAATTATTCTATGCGGTAATCTACTGAACACCGGCTAGCATCAATTATCAAACAGACCGGGGTAAATACAGGAAAAACAAAAAATAACTACAAGTATTTATTGTAAATACGCATATATCCTGATGAATGAAATATAATTTTATTTTAATTAAATTAAATTGTTTTGTCAGAATTGAATGCATAGACCCGATGCAGAAATTAAACATGTCGGACATCTCGCAAAACTTGCATATGCCTGAACTTCTGTAAATCTTTTGCAATTGACGTTACAAACGTCCCAACAATTTGCCGCTAAAATTGTTCGTCGCCCTTTCTGTCTGTGAGCATGTATTTGCCGTATTTGAATCGCTTGCGCGACCTTAAACCAAGAGATTTGCCCGCCAACTCATTTATCTTCGTTAATTTAATCACCTCATAAAAATATAAAGGGGTATCCTACATTTATTGGTAAAAATTTCCGAAAGAGCGAATTTCTAGTTTTTGAACGGGGTTTATACTTCCCAACTTACCCGTCTGTCTACTGCTGCTCAAAACTTGTTTGTTCAGCTATTCAACGTCCAAACGACGCCAAAAGTCAGATTTATGTCATTTAAATATTAATAGATGATTACTTGTATTTAACTTCATAAAACAATCATTTAATTTGTTTCAACATTTGTTTATATTTAAACATTATATGAAAATTTCGACGTGCGCCGATGTTGCGTTGCCATGGTTATTAAAGTGCACATAACTCGTAAAGGAAATAAAAGTTAACAATAAAAGTAAATCTTACTTTTGAAATTAAAGACACTCTTTCGATTCATATCCACTAAGGGTGTTTTTATGAACCAAGTAAAAAATGACAGCAAAAATCCACGAACTTTTTGAACATACCTCGTAATTATCTTCTTGAATGGCCTTCTTAGCCATAGCTCGAGTAACTGCACACGAAGGATAAAGGTCAGGAATTTCCTGCTCAATGGGGTCAGGTATCTGATCCACACAAGGAGTGTCAGTTACAAGTGGATTAACCACTACCTTATCTCCAGCTAAGTCATTACCTAACAATAAATGAACACCTTAAAAGGGTAAGAAAGATCTTATACCTACAGCCACCGGCCCAGTTACCAAATCTGAGGACAAATAAATATTATGGAGAGGGACATTAAAAAAACCACACTCTACACCCTGAATAAGGACACTAGATCCAGAAGAAGTCTTCTCAGAAAAAGGCAGTGTATCTGCTAAAATAAGAGATTGAGAAGCTCCTGTGTCTCTTAAAATTGTAATAGGAGTAGGTGGGCAAGTATCACCAATAAGTGACACGGAACCTTCCGAAAGGAATGGTTCATAAATCTCCATTATAGAATCAGACTTGGGTTCTTTGACCTTCAAAATTGCATTGTTATCGATACAAGACTGAGGTTCAGACCTTGAAGTGGTAAGACCTGTGAGTTTGGCCTCATTACGTTGCTGTTGCCTCCTTTTTAAGGTAAAGCAATCAGAAATAAGATGTCCAGTTTTCTTGCAATAATTGCATGTAGGACGAGATAAGGGACTATGACCTTTATGTTCATCAGATGACTTTGGTTTGGGAGTATTTGACTGACTAGATAAGCCAGATATATTACCAGAACTGAACTTGGAATTAAAATGTGAGGGTGTGAACTTCACTTTATTTATAAATGAGACTTTGTGGGTTAAAGAATAATCATCAGCTAGACGGGCAGCTTCTTCTAAAGTTTCTACCTGTTTTTCATCTAGGAAAGATTTAACATCTGAGTGAATACAACGTTTAAACTCTTCAACTAACATGAGCTGTCTGAGCTTTTCATGATTTTTATTTATTTTCTTAGATAGACACCACCGATCAAAAAGTTGTTCTTTTTCTCTTGCAAATTCGACATGGGTTTGACCAATTTCTTTCTTAGAATTTCTGAATTTTTGCCTGTAGGCCTCTGGTACTAACTCATAACCTTTCAGAATTAATTCTTTTACATTATCATAATTAGAGCTTTGTTCAACAGTAAGTTGTGTATAGATTTCACGAGCTTTACCAGTTAAGACGCTCTGTAAAAGTAATGTCCAGTGCTCTCTTGGCCATTTTAAATTTTCAGCAACCTTTTCAAAATGAAGAAAATACTTATCAACTTCTTTTTCTTGGAAAGGTGGAACAAGCCTAATATTTTTAGTGACATCAAATTTTGAATTTATTCTATGTTCAAACTGATTTGCTCTCTCTTTGATTTCTAATTCTCTCATTTTTAACTGAAATTCTCTCTCTTCTCTTTCTTTTTCAAACTGCCTTTCCCTTTCTTTTTCTTCCCTTTCTTTTTCTAACTGTAACTGCCTTTCTTCCCTTTCTTTTTCTAACTGTAACTGCCTTTCTTCCCTTTCTTTTTCTAACTGTAACTGCCTTTCTTCCCTTTCTTTTTCTAACTGTAACTGCCTTTCTTCCCTTTCTTTGTCTAACTGTAACTGCCTTTCTTCCCTTTCTTTTTCTAATTTCATTTTTTCTAATTCAAATTTAAATTGAAGTTCAAGCTCTTTTATCTTAATTTCTGGATTTGTTTCAACAATCAGAGAAAGTGCATCTTGTCCAAAAATATCTTCATCCACAAAATAATGAATCAGAAGATTTTTAATTTCTTGTTTACGCATTGAAGATTTAATTTCTGATAAATTATACTTTTTTGCAAGATCGAGCAAATCAGTTTTCTTAGCCAAATCTAATACCTCCTGGGAAGGTTCAGCTACAAACTTTTCTAAATTAAAAGACATGACTGCTTGTTGCTGGTTTTAAACTCAGAAAGTGATGTGTTTCAAAAATTTCAAAAATAAAAGGTACACTTAATAGAACAACTATGATATCAACTCAGATGAGTAAATACGGTAATAATAAAATGTAAAATAAACGGTAATAATTTCCAATAATGTAGCCAAAAAGAAATATTCAAATCCCGGACGAGCCCCCAATTTCTGTTACGAGCCAGGCGTAACTAGAAAGAAAAGCCAGCAACAAACTTGTAACAATATAACAAATTTATTACAGAAAAATATTAAAGAAAAATAAAATAACAAATTACGTTTACAAATACCTGAAGTCCAAATAAAAGTGAAAATCTTAAATGTCTAGTCTGATCCTGGAATGATCCTTTTTGAATAACACAGTTAAATCCAAGTTAAATCCAAGAACACTTTAGAATAAATTCCCACAATAAAATCCACAAGAATAATTTATTTTAAAATCCAAGCTCCAATAAATCACTTAATATCCAAGTTGAAGAATACTCCAAATATATTGATGACTTAAAAGATCACTGATGACTTAAAAGGTAACTGATGACTTAAAGTTAAGATTAATGAAAAATGTCTCCTAATATATTAACTAAGAAGTTTCCAGAAAGGTCTATTATGTTCTCAAGTAATCATAATCTAGCAACTTCAACAATAAAGATCATTCCAGAAGTTTCTATCTAAATATAATGCATGAGTTTTCTACAACAGTTAAGAACTTTCTAGTACATACATGTAAGTTTATGTTCTAAAATAGAACAATGATAATATTGGAAAAACCAACTGGTCAGATTACAAACTATATACATGTAATATGTTGCATACATAACAGTAGCAATACAATTATTAGATAGTCATTCTGTACTTTTTACATTGGTTTATCGTTTGATTAAGTTTGTAATTAGTTCAAATTGTAATCGAAATATATATAAGTATATTTAATACAAAAAAAACGTAACACTCTTACAGTTTTGTAAGTTATAATAGTAAAATCATTAATTAAACAAGTAAGTAAACCAAGAATCTTCTATAATAAAAGTGAGTAAAACAATGACACAAAATTAAATACCTGATACGTGAATGACGACCTTATTACTTATATGAGATTGCGTCGCGAATGCTGTGTACTGTTCGTCGCAAGATACGCTGATAAGGCTCTTGTACTATATCCACAGGCGAGTACAGTCAACTCCATGGCTTTGTAGAAGAGCCGGGTCGATCCGTCTTCATAAGAGAAACAACCGAAATGATAGGTAGCTATTACCATTATCATTAGAGCACTCCGCTGCATAAATCAGCTATCCTAATAAGAAACCTAGATCAATAGCTGGGTCAATCAATATTGAGCGCGACGAGGCGTCATCAGGCGGTGTTTAGGTGCGTCTCCTGCGCGATTTTGTTTTGACGCTGAGTGCGCGATCTGGAATTTTGCTCGTGGACCACAGGGCCTGTGGGATAGCATACGCGGTTCACTTTGAGCGAGCGGAGCTAGGCACTGTATGAATTCTTCCGAGATATAATTTGACCTTGGTGTCCAGCTTTATTTCCATTGATTACGTATAAACTACTCTTGTACGAATATTGATATTTGGAGACGCAGACGTTTAAAAAAACAGTGATACAGATAAGGAAAATTGCGTGGAGAGAGAGGTTTAAACCTATTGAAATTTACTAGCCAATTTTGTTTTTTACGACAAAGAAGCTGTGAGAGTATTGGCGAACACATACCATCCAGCGGCGCCATGGACGGAGGATTTAATGTAAGCGAGCCCTACTTTCGAGCGCGGTGGATACAATCTCATAATCTGCAATATGATCATAGTTATGTTGACGGATGTTTACAAGGATAACACGAATGGCGCATCCAGTAGAGGACATGCGCTGTGTATGAACGAAGATCTGTCCTGAAATTAACACTACTGCCTTCTGTTCCGTTCAGCGTTGTAGAATGAATTAGCGGGAACGCAAGAAACTAGCAGGAATATGAGCACGATCATATTCACATAATCAAGGATAAAGCATTTTTTTCTTTTGCTACGTGACTGAAAATGAAAAACACCATTTTTCTAAGTTTGTATATATATATACAGTTATCACAGACTTGTTTGTTTATTAGATATGGTTATACATGAAACATCATTTAAAGCTGCTTGTTAAATGTTTTAAAGTATTTGCTGGCGGCTTTAAGTTGGGCATTTTGAAATTCAATCTCTTTTACCCTATTGTTGTTTATGTTATTGCATATTGTTCATAAAAGAGATAATAAACACGACGTGTTTATACATATATAATGACGCCCAAGTTTGGTACTGATCTTTACATGATTACAAACATGACCTGGGGGCTATTTCAAAGTTTATTTTATACTAATATAGAATTAAAAAAAAGTTGAGGATGTTATTTTGGTTTTCTATTATTGAATATCTTTTTGATTATCTGGAAATTTCTGCTTGATTATAATCCTTAAAGATAATAGATAAATTATGGCATGATGATGCAATTTGTAAAAGGGGACTCGGCTTATCATCCATTGTTGAACAATTTACAAGTTATCTCTAGCACTTAGTAGACACATATACTGCAATCGGATATAAGAGGAGATTTGAGTCAGTTTGTAAAACATAAGATATCGATAAAATACGGTTATTGTCTGTTATTGATTTTTAAGACAATTTCTACAGTTTTATGAAAAATTAATCCTTACATAGAATTTTCTAAATTTTGTGTATGAAGAGTAAAATTTAATGACGAATTTAAAATAAAAAGAAAAATATATGTTGACGTGTTGGATTTCTTGTAAAATGGCAGTTTCCTTGGTAACCGTATATCTAAAAACTGTCAAAATAGCTTAACTGTGTTATAACGAATAGAAAATGAAACACACAACGAGCATTGTTTTATGCAAATATAATCTTATCAAATGATTCTGTATGAAACAAATGATAATCTGAACATATTTCTTTAAAAAATGAGTTCTCCATGTTCCTCAACCGAACAAAAATGAGAAAAATAAACATGAATTATGAGAATAATTAGAGATATTGAAAAAAGTGTTTCATAGGATTTTCTAATTTTTTTGTATGTTGTGTAAAATTTAATGACAAATGCAAAAAGAAAAAGAAAAATATATGTTGGCGTGTTGGATTTTTTGAAAAATGGCAGTTTCCATGGTAACCGTATATCTCAAAATAGTCAAAATAGCCAAACTGTGTTATAATAATGTATAAAATAGCTTATTACACTCACAATAAACATAATTTTATACAAAGCTTGCTTTATCTTAGGGTTCTGTATAAAACAAACGATAATTGGAACATATTTCTTTAAAAAATAAGTTTTCATGCTTTTTAACTAAAAAAAATGAGAAAAATAAACATGAATTCTGTAAAAAATTAAAGCTATCAAGAAATTTCTTTCATAGAATTTTCTACATTATTGATATATAAAGTAACATTTGATGGTGGATTCAAAAATAGAAATAAAATATATATGTTGACGTGTTAGTTTTTTGAAAACGGGCAGTTTCCATGGTTACCGCATATGCCAACTGTCAAAATTACCACGCTTTCTTAAGAAATATCAGTGTTATACTAAATGTATTGTCAAATATACAACAAAAACATGTTGTAATAAAAATTTCTTTTTCTTTTGATGTTATATTATTAAGTAAATGATACTGAATATCTTTTTAAAACATATCTAGGGCCATATTATTTTTTTCACTCGACTAACATACCCGAACAGTAAGCAAGTATTCAGAAATTTACAAAGAAAATAATGAAATTTCTTAGATATTTATTTTGTTTTTTTTATTCAACACTCAATATATCATTTTAAACTTCTTTGCCCAGTTTTCTGCCAGTAATCAAGTCGCGACGCACTTTCGTCACTATACCACAAGTGGGTTGGGTAACGCGCGCAGAATTATCATCAATGCTGTCGCACTAATGCTTGGAGAAATCCTTTATGTGATGTTGTCTAAACGACTTCTTATTCTTTTGAACCGATCTCCTTTTGAACATTTAGAATTATCTATCCTGTATTATTTACTCATTATTTGCTTATAGCCGAAATTTAAACACTTATCCGAATACTATTCAACTTCACCTTCATTTGAAGAGTAATTATGCGTGATTATCTTTCTTGGAAGCGCATAACGATGCGCACAGAAAACTACCGAAAACGTCTTTAATAAAACATACCATAGCCAAAGGTAACCAATATGAAAACAAAACAAGTCGAGGCTCTTCGTGCATTCATTCCACACAACATTGAGCATTCCTGAAATTGTATCTGGGATTCAATATGTTTTTCATCAGCGAAATTACGCCTAATATGTTTTCTGAAGTAATTATTTGTTCGCCTACAAGATGTATTTTATATGCATTTTGTGAAATTGAATAATTTGGAAATTATGTTCCAAAGTTTTTGGCTTGAGCGAAATTTCTTTTAGTTATAAGTACTGAATAATATCATAAGTACTAAATAATATCAAAGCCCTGGACTATACAGACTTTTACAAAATGATATTAAAAATATTTAATTGTGGATGCAAATTATGCATGGCATTTAACTATTTGACCAACATTTACCAAATGCATGCGCATTCTATTTACTTTTTGTTAACATCGGCACATATGTAAATACTAACCGAGTTACAACCAAAGAAACCAAGATACAGATTTACTTCTAATACTTTGTGATAAGATGTTGTTAAAGGGTTATAACTTTAAACAATTATGTAGGATACTTTTAAATATAAGATACAACTTAATATATTATGACAATTATTCGGGAGTTATTTAAGCTTAACATTTTTAAATGACACTATTTCAAAGAATAACAACAATGTACAACCTGGTTAAATCCTTTTTGTCACTTATACTCATACAACAACAACAATAACAAATAAATTGCCATTAGTTAAAAAGTAGTCTGTACCATTTTAGAAATGGTAATAAACATCGATTTTTGTCAAAAATATATGTAACAAATAAAAGAGCATAGTTATCTAAATTATAATTGTAGTTAATTTAAACGAGTATCTGTTAGGGTTCAAAAATAGAAAGAGGGTGAGTTCAGAAAACCTGGCAGATGTTATCACTTTTAATGAGACGTCGCTATATCTTTAATGATAATTATCTACATACAATTGCAGGTGTTCTTGTGCCATAATGGAGGTTTAGCATAGTTTTATTTTAAGCTGTAAATATATACTTTTTATTCAATTCTCTATTAACCTTCTTATTTAAAGATTTAACAAAAAACTTAACAATAAGCATATATTAAAGGAGCAATAAATCGAACATACAGTTCACTTCAAGAAGGGATTGAACCTTACTAAATAGGTATACTATTTAGAAAAAAATAAGTTTAATAAATCGAATGTATTCTAAATTTTTAGTCGAATTATAAAAGTTTTTTAAAGTACGGACTAGTTTGCTAACTATTTAATATAAAAAATTATATTGAATTGGTATAGGTTAATCTTTGAACCATTAGTAAATATTTACTTACTTTTAAAGGTGTCCTGATTGATAAAATCACAGGTAGTGTTATACATTATACATACGATTTCAAAACTTCCTGGTGTAGACGTTCTGTGTAAACAATATTTAACATTCTATACCACAATCGATAAATGGTAGGTCATAACGTGATAAATGACATAGTTTACAGCGTCCATTTTGAAATAAGGAGTTGCTTTGTTCATATATAAATCAAAATGATGTCGTCAATGACCCATAAATTAAATCTTTACATCCTTAAACACTACACCATGTCATGTAAAATCCGTATGATGAAAATGATAAAACAGTTTATATTGATTAAAAGATGACCTGCACAACTTCTATGTTAATTAAAAAAAATCTTCTTCGTAAAATAGGTCATTTCTGTTTGACTTATAATATGTGTATTGTACTTTGAATATATAACATGATAATACATGGTGATATCTAAAAGTTTCTAATAAATGGCTTGCAGGTGGTCTTGTGCCAAAATGGAGGTTAGCATAGTTTTATTTTAAGCTGTAAATATATACTTTTTATTCAATTCTCTATCAACCTCCTTATTTAAAGATTTAACAAAAACTCCACCCTTTAATGGATGCGAAAGGATTTTCCTCTCGGGTACGAAACAGGGCTTGTCTCCAGTCATCTCCATCAAGACTCAGTTTTGAAGCCGTAAATGATGATGAAGTACGTCTGTGCTATTTCTGCTAATTATTTTTTACGAATTCAATGAATTTGGTAATAAGTCTACTCACATATAGATACAGTAAATAAAACATCATACTGACACTGTCATAGTGTAATGCAAACTGTTAACTATTATCTTCTAGTAAAACACATAGCATATTCATACTGTGTCAGTATAGTATAATATGAGTTTTGAATACGTCTGCTCACGCGGTCTGAATATAGCATAAATTCCGTCATCTGTTAGGAATTATACAAAAATGTGTGTCCATAGCTTCTTTACCTAAATAGCGGTAAAGTATTAAGTTTTGAGTTTAATCAATTTGTGCAGTAGACAAATTTAATTGTTGAAGTTTAAAAGCGTTTATATGATTAAGTTGTTTTTGAATATAAATAGCGTTGAATTATCAAGTTTATGTTTTGCATATCATTCGGTAGTGTAATTAATTTATTCATATTCGTTTAGATAATTTAAATACAATTGGTAAATTAGCATAACTCAAATATTTAGCATGATTTATTTAAATCATAGGAAGCACTGAGGAGCTGTACTTATCTGGGTTGCGCTGAAATTGTTTTTCCTGAAGGTTCTGTGAAACGGGTTATACCAACGCTTCAAAGTTAAGTCGGGTACATTGACATCCATTAAGTTGCTCCTTTCCGCTTCTGGTTCGAATCCAGCTTTGGACTTAGGATTATTCATGTTATATTTCATTTATATCCTATCATTATAAAGAAGGTCGTTTATTCAAATCAGATTAACGCTTGTGCCTTGTTTTATTTTAGTGCACGAACAGGCATCTTTCTGCACCATGTTGTATTGTCACCGTACGATGTTTACAGTATCAGGAGACTAAAAATAAAACAAAACATATTTTCTACGCCGTATCAACTTAGAAATTGAACTTTAATAATATTTTCAGTAAGTAATGCTTTGTCACAAAACAAGCTTATTGCCGATTGTGTGACGAAATTCACAGCGACGTCCTCTATTGTATTTCTTATGTACTGTATTTCAGGCACAAAGAGCTCTCAAGTAGAACTAGCTAGTATAATAGCTTTGTCAAATGCAGTATCCGGTCATGCTTACGCCGTTCGAGCCTACAGCAATGATAAACAATTGGGTTGAATCAACGACTTTGACCCCGCTGCCGAGAACTTCCCGCGACGCTTGTAGTTTTTAGTAAATGAGTTAAGCAAACAATTTAAACAAAGAAATATATTACCTATATTAATGACATTGTAACCTTTTAAAACCTAATGAATGATTTATGGGCCGGTAGTAATAATGTAGGAGCTAAATACGAGTAGCGCGCTTACTGGTACGTTTACGGGTTGCAAAGTACACATTTATTAAAGCATAATTTTAAGAATTTACATCAAGGACGTTTCGATATATTGTTAAAATCGCATTATACACATTGGAATCTAAATAAGACGCAATTTCAATAAATTAGCCTTATTTAAAAAAGTCCAAAATATTATCGTTTTTTTTAAAGTTGCCAATTATCGATTTAAGAATGCACCAACTTAGCAAACTATGTCCTTCCTTTGGGGAGGTAATATTTTATTTTACAAAATAAAAAAGCACTTACATTACAACGAACAAAGATCGATATGAATCAATAGCATTATATTTCAACTGTGTGTGATAAATTATTATAAAAGCTTCAATTATATTTAAGTCTTAAACAGGTTATACACTGTCAAATTATCAATCAATGTAAAAAATGTGAAAGAGAAGATCAACAAGGAAGGCCACCATTCAAAGGCACGCAATCATTCTAAAACCGGCCCAATATTGAGGATTCGATTATTACAAATTTAAATTGAAGCGACTAAATTTATAGGAAGGAATTTATGCGTAGTTTTCTTGTTAAAATTAACGAATAATGTGAAATAGAAATTGTTAAAAGGTAACAAATTGTTTATTTTGTCTTGATCGTATGTGTTGAATTAATTAAAATGTTAACTTACTTATTTAAAACATAATGTAAAATCAATTTATTTTGTTAGTTCTCCTTTTTTTCTCTTTTTTTTTCAGATTACGACAACGTTTATATAGATAAATGGGCTTACATCTTATTACACGTATGTTTATTTTAAATACCATTATTTGAAGCTTATGACTTTAAATCAATGTACTAGCTAAATGGCTTCCATCTGTTTTATATCAGCTAACAATAAGATTTTCATATACCAACTGTTAAAGTGAAGTCTCCGGAATGTTTAAATCCTAAGATGGCCCAAAAAGGGTTAATATTCTGGTTCGGTATGAATAATTATACACTTAAAAACACGTACAACATGGGCTATATTCTGATATTGTCGTTTGTGATTAAACCGAAAAAAAATCAGTCATTAAGTTCTTCCGCTTTTGAAGTAAAAAAAATTATATATATTGCAGGAAGACAATATTCCTGTTTTGATATTTGAAAGAGTACTCATGTTTGTGGTTTCATGTTTCTTCAAATGAACATCGATTAAAATAAGTCTTTGCGTGCATGCTTTGGTTGAAAAAATCGATTATTGCTTTAACCATTATTCAAAAACGGTTTCATTATCACAGGCGAAATAGATATATAAAGAGAAAACCATGCTAGTATCTCACATTACAAAATTTATTTGGTAAGGCTAAAAAATAAAAATTGAAAAAGGCTCTACCAAGCCTTTCATTTTATTCGTGCCGAACTTAGTAAATTTTATAACATCAGACAATTGTTTGGTATTCTGTGTATCGTGTTTGCAATTTTAATATGCGTTTCTGAGCGCATAAATATGCAAGGGATCATATCTGTAAGAAATATTTCAAAATGTTTTAGTCATATGTAAGATAATTATTTAAAATTTCTTTTCGATTCAAAGTTTATCAATTAAATATTTTCAAACAAGTAAGAGTAAAAAATATGCAATTCTCTTAGTTTCAATTTCAATATGTATTGATGAGATAAGTGATGGAATGTATCGGGCGTGCATTTTTTTCAACATAAATCAATATACAGACATTGTCGATATTATATACATCTATGTATCATCTTTTTTTATAAACTTTGGGAAATCAGTTTAACAGTAAGAAATTTCTTCTTAAATGTTTAATGCCTGTATCTATATCCGTTGACCTGCAGTTCCACGAAGCATACATACAAGTAAACGGATTATATAAAGTGTATATTTGTATTATGTGACATTATTGTTGTCTGACGAATGCACGTAGATGAGATGATCGTATTATAAGTTTAAAGAGAGCTGTAAGAGACTCGTTTTATTTTCGAGTGAAGAAACTCACGTAAAAATTTACCGAAAATAATTGCATAATAATGTATCTCTATCATTAGTTATTTCAGAAAAAATTGTCAAATTCTTTCTTCAAGTTGATATATTAGCTCGATCAATGTGACTTATAGTCGCAGATTAAATACTGACACTGATATTAAATAAAGGAATTTAAATGAGTGTAGGTTCAATACTAGATTAATTGAACTCGTTGAATAAAAACAAAGAAAGTTTCACAATAGTTTTTTTATTCAACTAGTGCAATAAATTCAATAATGAATCAAAGTGAATATAATATTCAATTTGTTACATATTCAGAATTATAACTTTTATAAGATCGTTTTTTACCACATAAACAATGGCATATGAGTGCTATAAATCGAGGATATTGACTGAGTGTAAATTCAATGATTGATTAATTGAACGACTTGAATTAAGTTCTATTATGCGGGCTTCTGGATGGTATTATATTGCTTTATTCAACTAGTTAAATAAAGTAAATGTAGAATCTACACGAATACAATATTCTTTTTAGCACCGCATATTTAGAAAAAAAAACGGTACACAGTTAAACAAATGAATTAGTCGTTGTTTGTTCGCCTAATGCCCCGGTCACATATTCACGGATAATGCCACGGAAAAGCTACGGTCTAATCATTTACGGATTACTACGGAAATGTGAAATTCCGTAGTCCGCTACGGTTCCAGTACGGACACACAACGGTATGAGTACGGAGTCCGACGGATTTACCACCAAAAGCCCCCGGAGAGACACGGATTGTTACGGACCGACACGGTTTGATACGGAGCGACACGAATCAGGACGGACGCACTACGATACACTACGGTCTGCTACGGTATAAGCACGGGTTAGTACGAATAAGTACGGTCTGATACGGAGAAGAACGAATTGATACGGAGAAGAACGAATTGCCACGGATCTATACGGACCTAATACATCCGTCCACAACCTCTTGCATGCTCATTTTCAAAATGCCTCGCAAGAAAAGAACACCTAGAAAACGAATTGCAGAGTTCAATGATTTTGGCGGAGAGGATTCGGCCTAATCGCGTCCGACCCCCGAGACACATCAGGTCCGATTAAAGTGAATTTCTTGAAGGACGCTGGATCCTCAACAAGTTCGGCCATGAGAGCCTCATACAAAACATGAAGCGGTCTTCTCTAGTCCACCATCTCGTCTGTCTTCTCTTACCTGATTAGATATGGACTAGTAATCATTACTGAAAAATGTTGACCAATACTGCTTCTCTTTTAATTTTAAGATTTGCTGTTTATTTAACAATTACATTAATTAATGTTAATGTTTTAAAAATATGTAAAAAGCTTGTTAATTAATCTTATTATCACCAAAGGGCCAGCGTCCGAGACTTATGAGACACTTCGTTTTATGTACATATTTACTCCAATTTCACGATTCAATGTTTGTAAAATATGTAACATTAAATGTTATGCTATTACTTATGAATTATAGTACGATATTAACATAAATTTAACTTCTATGCATGTCATCAAGCAGCTTGACCACTGCCTCCGCATTCCGAACCATTTCAATAAAGTTGCAGCCAGTAAATGGCAATTATCATTTATTGAATGTTCCTGCAAATATGTCTGTTTTTAACATGAAGATAGTATTTATACCCTTAAAAAGGTACATGATACTTAATTCATCCGTACTAAACAGTGGCGGACCGTACCATCCGTACCATTTCGTATTGCAACGCAATAAACCGTATAAGACCGTGCTAATCCTTGCCTCTCCGTAGTACAACGTACTACGATCGTGGCTTTCCGTGACAATGTCGTATTAATCCGTATTAAAATCGTAGCTTATACGTAGGGTAACCGTACAAATACGTAATTCTCCGTACCAAAATGTGGAAATCCTTGACAAGTTGGTGGACTACGAATCAGTACGGACTAGTACGGTTATTGTACAGACCAGTACGTATCAGTACTGATTAATACGGACTAGCAGGGATACGCTACGGTTGATTTTTCCGTAGCAAATTTTTGTGCATGTTCAAAAATTGTCAAGGATCGCTACGGATATACAAGGACTACTACGATTGATTACGGTTACAACACGGAGAGCTACTGACCAGTACGGGTAGCTACGGACGATGCGGAAATTTAGTCGTGGCTCTTCCGTGGACGTATTTCGTGAATATGTGACCGGGGTATAAAGTTTAACGCTAACATTAGCGCGTGTAATATCATTATTATTATTATATGGGCTAATTAGACCCCTGTAATGTAGATTAAGCTATTAAATAAAATAAAAACACATTACATTAATTAGATGAAATAATTGTCAAGTATTTCATTTGTACTATAATGATGACACTAAGACAATAACTACATGTATATGATCATCAATTAAATCATTAAGGGAACTTTTTTTATACGAACGTATCTATATGTAAAGTTATAGCCGACTATCTTTTTACAATATATCCGATTTGAATAAAGGATAACCGTATTAATAATAATTATTTTTTTGGCAATCACAACCTTAAGTATAAACTTGTGTTTATGATTTAAATGTAAAATAATCGATGTCGACATTTACGACAGCCGATTTATTAGCTCGCTTTTTAAAATCATAAGCCAAAAATAAATACATAATTATAAGTGTATACAAACTGCATCAGAAAAAATGACTTTTGAAGTTTGTTTAAATGTTACATGCAGGTATCCTTTAATGCATATACATTGTATCTGACATATGTTGTCAATTGTTCATTACCTTATAGTGCTCGGCGGTTGTCAAACCTTAATACTTGAACAGTATGAAGTGTATCAATAGCAGCTTGAAAAAAAAACGATGTTATTTTAATATTCTGAATTTATTAAACATAGTGGAATGCAGAAAAGGTATGCAAATATGATGCGAAAGCAACTGATTTTAGCGTGACATTCTGCATTATTTCATGAAAAAAATTAGAATTATGCGTTAAATTCTTTTTCCACAGCAGCAGCGTTTTAAAGTAATGCCTCCCAAGCGGCGCATGACGTCAGAAAATGATATTGTTATGCGTGTTGTTGTTAATGTCCTTTTATCGGTAGTAACATTATGGAATAGTTAACTGGGGTAAATGAAGTACAGTAACTGTTATAATTATTATTAATTTAAAGCATAAACCTATCTCATTCTTATGAGTTTTTTTCCCATTGAATTCGAATTATTTGCCAGACCTGACCATGTAATTCGGAGCTACACATCTAATGCCAGTCAGATGTTGTTGCTAATTGTGCATGCTCTGTGATTTTGAAATGCATGAAAGAACTTATGTTGAAATTTACTGTCATATCATCATTTTCATGGTATTATTAATTGTTTAATTTCAGAGTCACCATGAATTCTGTAACTAAGACGATTTTACTCTTTCACTTTTTTCTAAGTGTAATCGGTGAGTACGAGGTTTCATTATTTATTTTAACAAGAAAATAATTATGAAAACAAATTGTGATGCATTCATTTTAATATATTATTTTAAGAATATGTTGTATAGTTAAATTTATGTAAACTTTATAAAAATAAAAACTTTACACATTTTTAAACTTTAGCATTTTGACAAAATGCAAACATTATCAAACGTTCTGATATGAGCACAAACTTCAGTTATATTATCATTTTAGCATAATCGTCGGTCGTTAAGATTTTAGAGTACTAATATAACATATATTCTAACTATTTACAGAATATTAATCCCGTTACAATCTTTATACAGTATATAATTATGCTGAAATGTGCAAAGTTTCAGTGAAGAGATGCAACTGAATCCTAGCACTGTTGACAATTATTTTACATTTTTTTGCCTAAACTAGTTTAATAGTATTGTGAAAAAAACTAAATATAAGTCTTTTACATATTGTTTTGAAGACAACAACAAATCCGTGATGTGCGGCAATATGTATGGCACATTAAACATGAAAATATGAAATATTAATATTTATGGTTAAATTATGGAAATTATTTTGAAATTGAAGAACTCTTTTTGTTGATATTAAAACAAAGGATAAAAGATATATGGCTGGTTTGTTTTAATAACATATTCAAAGACTCGATAATAGCACTGTTTAGAAGACTTGTCAGTTTTAGTTTTAGCAAAAATGTAGGTGATATAAATATCAGTAAGCACGTTTACGAATGCCATGCCATAGATTAACTGTTGAATCTGGACGATGGAGAAATTCAGAAAATGGACCTTTTAATGAATGAAACTGTCATAATATATGTAACATATTGGAGGTCAATACCGTGTAATATATTTAAAGAACTTCGTATAAAAGATATCAAGAGAAACTTTTGGAATCACCCTAGTATTTCTTAATTTATTGCTCTTATGACTACAGAAAATGTAACATATATTTGTATTTTAAGTATTTACTCGTATGGTGCTTTTTTAAACGTCTGCAACGAATAGATTCAATATAAACTGCCAATTTTACATGTAGAAAAATCTATAGCATAGTTTTATGTTTGATGCTTACTAAAACACAAATCTTTTGTAAAAACAAATTTGATTACATTATACCTTAAAATATTTTTTATCAAGCTATTGATATTTACTCTTTCAGTCAAGTGTAAACACTTACTGCCAATTCATCTAAAATGAAAACGATGGCTCGATAAAAAAAATACATATACCTATGTCATTTTATATTGCTAATTTAACTATTCACTTAATATTCAAACAAAATGTTTTATGTTTTATGTTTAATATTGATAATAACGTTGGTTACGTTAATAGGGACTCCTTGTATTTCTGTTTAATATGCTGGTGTGCTGTATATTTTGTTTTCATTATTCGATGGGGCATTTATATGTTGGTGAAAATACGATTTTTAGCACTTTGTATCATTTGTTGTTGACGCTCTTTTGAAGAAAGTGAAAATTCTTTATATGATATGATGTTATCTGGGAGCGTCCAAACTCAATAACAATATTGTTATATGGAAAGTAATATATTTTAAAAAATATCATACTGTAATATTTATAATGCTCTTCTTAGGGCTTCAGTACATATATCAGTTATTCTCATAAAATTTTTTTATCTTTAAATTAATTGTCTTATTTACAATGGTCATACACAGAACGTAAATGGTTTATATTGTCTTAATTCTAACTGTCGAGATATTTCAGATCAAGCTATATGCAATTTATTTTTTCAGTAAATTAAATACACTGTTCTAAGATTTCGTCTTATACAAGTATATGTTTTGTAACTAAATTCGGATTAACTTTGTTTCATTATGATAATTAATCATGTTTAATTCACTGACACAATGATGTTAACTTTTAAAGAAGTAAGTACCTCTTATTTGTATGTATTCCTTTGATTTTAGTTGCTATCGATGTAACATGTGACAGCGTTAATCCTTTGATACAATCTGATGTGACATGCGTATGCAAGAACGCACCGGGAACAGATATAGACTGGTTGGTTGATGATGAATTCAACTCAAACTGTGGACTGTCCAAAGAATGTCTACCTATATACAGTGGTTACAATTACTCTATCAACACGACTGGAAACGTTTATATGATGACTATAAATTTATATAATTATAGTAATTGTTCAAAGGTAACATGTAAAGATACAAGTGATGGTAGCATTAAGCAGTCGATTATCCCTTCGTCTTTAGGTAGGGTATTTTTTTTTTTCTTTCTATTTGTTGTTATAGATATTTGTTTTATGATCTATTTATTGATTTAAATGAAAAGAAACAAGAAAAAATTTATGAAAAAGAAATAAATAAAAAAAAATGCATAGGTTATATTCAGAATTTTGCCATAACTCTAGCATCTATAAACACTACACGATATGTTTCTAATTAAACCTGTCTTTTTTCAGTACTCATATGACTGTGTATTTTTGAACACTTTAATTTATGTTTTATAAATGTTCACAAATATATGACATGTTTCAATTTGAAATCATTTGAGCTAATTAATCATCATATTTTACCAAGCTACCGAGATGTGATTAGTAGTCTCGTTATTTGGCCAAACTTTATATAATGTCAATTTGAACTCACTTATTGAATTAGCTATTCGCTAAAGAATTAATGATATTTATATATATATTAGATGTGTTTATTTGTTAACAAGAAGCTTTGTTCAAACATTTCAAATATCCGAGGCATTTAACTAAAAACCTAATTTCCGGTCATCCTTAAGATTATTTAACATTTGGACTTATGTTTCATAGACTTTTTCATCACAAAAATAATTTTGGAATGGTCAAGAAGCTTCCCTTAATTAAGTTTGTGATTCTTTAATAACCATTAAGATTCTTGTTAATATTCAGTTCTTCAAGTTAATGTATGGAAAGTAAAACCGTTCCCAGACGAACTTTGTCCGGAAAGCAATATACCATTCAAAACAAAAAGTGTATATTTCAGTATTCGATACGACCTTCCCAACATCAATGACAGAGCCAGGGTCGAACAATACTAACGGTATTATATCTGTGACAACTGGTTGTATTTCTGGTTTCATGGACGTGCAATATGATTGGTATATCATTGTTGTACGTAAATTGTATTTCATATATTTTTATTTCATATATGTTCTGAAATGATAGAGAAAAAACTGAACGGCTATCCTCGCTGTAATAAATTAGTACTTACTCTTACAAAAAAAGTCACTGATACACATAATTAAGCTTACTTGGTTCAATCATTCAATGTGAAATCATGCATTTTGACTATTGTTTTTAATTTTATCGAATTTTTAAATGCGAAACATAAGAATCTTTTTTCTAAATTTATGCTGGGGCCAGTATAATTTGTTTTTTTATATTTTTTTTAAAATGTTTTGTATAAAAAAAGAGTTGTTAATAAAATTATGCTTTTTAGAAAAAATTCTCTTGTAAATTGCAAATTTTTTTATTTTGTGTTAGGGTGGTGGAAGAAAGATTTTGATTGATAAAAATTTTGAACGGATAGGAAAAACCCCAAAATTGGACACTGTGAATGGCAAAAAATTTGGTTTTGAATTAGGATGGGGTCGGAACAAAAACCCGGGACTTTTGGGTGTCATTGATCAGTCTCGAAAAAATTTTTTCAACTTAATTTAACATCACGATATTTTTACACACTAAAAGGTGAGTTAAAATTTAAGCACTGCACTCATAAAGTATAATCGCTTTGTTATTTTTGTATTTGCAAAATTCCAAAGGCACTGTAACTCAATAATGAGAAAAGACCAGGCATATAAAGGCGTTATATGAGTCTTTGTCACTAAAGAAGCAGCATCAATAACAATCTGCAGATATTGTTTTATCGTTTGCAAGTCACCCGACGATAGTTTTATACATGCAACATTCATATCCGCGCACCTTTCTTTTCGTGATGCGTTTTAAACTAGGAACTTACATTTCAAAATGCCGAAAATACAAGCTTATTTAATTTTATGATATATTGTCTAAAAAAAGCAAATAACCCCCCCCCCCCAAAAAAAAAAAAAAACAACAAAGATTCCGATCTGAAAAGAACCACCCCATTCTGCGTTCACACAAAGTCCAGTTTGTGATAATATTGCAGCCTGATATTTTTAAATTACTTTTGCCGGCTACATACACAACATTCGAAAGTCATAGACAATGAGTATCACCTTAATCTTTCACCATTTTGAATCCAAAACCTGTGCTTTGAATATCATTGCATTATTGATATTAGTGTTTACTTTACAATCCAATTTGCTTTGTCATAGTCAAACTTTATAGAGTGGACACAAAATTGCCACCCCGGGCAAAGAAATGGCTGGCCAGGTGCATAATGCGCCGAAATTATGTCGAGCGCAATAACATATTACATCATACATGTATATCATTATCTATATAGGATTATCGTATGTGATTATTACTTTTAAAAGACAAACGTAATAACAAGAATATCAACCTGATCACTTAATAATTAATAATATAATTCTTAATAATTACTTAATCGAGAAGAACACTTTTAGAAAATTGATATAAATATAACATTAAAACAGTTGATTCAGAAATCATCGCAACAGGTCTCTTAATTTCCATTGCTATATTGTATGCACAAATTGCATGTAAACCACACTTTCTTTCCATTTACTTGATGTTTCAGATGAATACTTCTTCATTTTAAATCGAAAACTGTTATATTTATAACCCTTACAATAACACATTGTACAATCTATATAAGTGTACAAAAGGAGTTCTATATTAAGTTTGTTCCTTTAAAGTTACCACTTACAATAACGATGTATGTATTCATTAATTTTCTGATACATTGCAGCGAATAAACAGATTGAAAGTGATGGTGATTTGTTACTATGTAATACATCGTGTATTACCGGCATTAGTTTAGGAATTGTCCATTTACTAATAATCTTTATAGTTACGATGGTCATTGTTTACTACTTCGGTAAGTTTTGTTCATTTTTTTTTTCGTTTTTTTTTTTTGTATTGCGACAATTTATTTAAGGTTAATGTACTCTATGGGTGCCGTCATGACATTTTGTACCTTCGGACCAAAGTCCGCTAAATTGTTTACAGTTTATGCCGGCTTTTCAAGCACCCTGTTGTCGCTATCTTGATGATGAATTTTCACGATTTGTAGACGAAATTTAGAAACAATGTCAGAGAAGAATCATTTTCAGGTATTTTAGCATCTTTATGTCTTTTTTAAAAAAGTACAAATTTTTAATGTGCAAATATAGATTTTTTGTTTTTTAGGATGTTGCGCCTACTGTCAAATTTGACAGATGATTAGAGCGCTTCAGTTAAACGAAATGAGTTTATCTATGGTGAAATCATATTTTGGGCGTGTCAGGTTGAGTCCTGCATGTAATATATAGAACAAAGTATTTGAAGTATAAGTTTTAGCTACGAATTTTATCGAATGACCCTGATTTTCAGTGGTTTTACTTCATAGCAACAGTATATACAAAAGGACTTGTCTCTTTTTATAACATATTTACAGTGCAAGAGTAGTCCTCCATGTTATTGATCGATTTGCTGCACTATAGAATAATAAACCATTAGGATAGTAATGTAATAGAGAGAGTGAGAGACTGATAATCCAGAGGTCCAAGGTTCAAAACCTTGTGTTACTTTTTTTATATATATTTACATTTTGTGGTATATATGCAAAACGTCTGCTGACATATGTTCTGTTGAGGAAGTGTTTTGTATAGGTAGAAATATATTACCTAATTTACTGTCTTAACTAATTTATTATTTATTATTACTGGGACAAAAATATAACATTATATTTTATTTTGTCCCAGGTTTTAACTGGTATAATTTTATCTGTAGATTATTATAATTTTTTTACTCGATTTAAACGCAGGAATTAGATGTATTACACATTACTAACTTTCAAACTTATTTGAGTGTCATTTAATTTCTACTAATCGTGAGAAAAATTCCAAAATCTGTATTTGTTAGCCACTTCTGAGTCAGACAAAAATCAAATGATGACACGAAGTGCAAAGGGAAGGAACTCTAGACTAAATTGAGAAATCAAATGTTGTTAAAATGAAAATTGTAATCAACATTTAATATTTTCGGAATAATGTTTATATTAAATATTTAATTATTTTTGGTTAATGTTAAGAAGAAAAGGTTTTTTTGGTGTAACAACATATTTATTTGATAATAGATACTAAATAAACTCGTAAATAACAACAAGCCCGTATCTTTTGCACCTATGGAAATATCAAAATGAGTCTTGCTCTCAAAAAAGTGAAGGCAAATCTGATCTGCAATTTTAAATAAAACAAAACTAAACAGCAATGCATTATATAAGAATATAATGGGCAATTAAAAAAAAGTGCACTTAAGTCTAAGCACAAAAAACACTAAAAAAACTTCTATTCAATATTTCAGTAAGACCAAAATTTACAAATATTGAAATATTGAAGGATACAAAAATACATATACTGTGGACTGATCGTCTATATTGTTGTCGTTGGTGCCAACCAATTTTTGGATATAACATCGTTTGTAACCCGGTAAGTTTATTCTGTTCCGCCGAAAGTGTGCGTACCGTACGGATATGACAAAAGTCTTCTTCTGTCTGCGTCCTTCCGTCTGTCCGTCCCGTATCTGGAACGATTTTTTAATTCAATCATTTTTTCCTGTTTTTATCCTCTATTTTGTCCAGAGAATAACTCCAAAAACATAGCATATGATTGACTTGAAGCTTATTAAAATGTTGAAAGATGCTAAATTAGACATATGCAATCAATTTTAATCTACTTTCTAGTCTGTCTTATGTGTATCATTTACCTTTGGTAAATCTGATCATGTACATGTATATCTTTCTGTCTACATTAAAAGCTTATGATTTGACAAGATTTCTCCTACTTTCTAACAAAATAAACAGGAATAAAGAAATATGCGAAACCATTAAATCATCATTTTTGTACTTTTTGTAACGAACTCATTTTTTCGAAAACACCTTTAAGATAGACTTGACAATGTAAATTTGAATATTTGAAAAGAAGAAGTGCTAAGAATCGTAACTGAAGAGCAACTTTAAGCAAGAATTTCGCTTTCACTACAAATATTTTTTTTTTACATTGCTATTCCCGTTGCCGTCCGAAAACACTAACGTTAGTCATGCTCATATTTTTTGCCTTCGAAAGAAGATACAACAACCTTTTGGCTTATTTTAAATGTGTTCAACTTGCTCGTTAGATTGTTATTCGTTATGAATGAATTTACTTCATAGTGAGACACAGCTATATTTATATTCAAGACCTTGAGGATGATTAAAATGGCATAATGACTATCAATGTGTAAATGGTCGGAGAACAGATGATGATAAAATAACATAACATTTTGCCAAAATTACTTTCCCTATGAAATAAATTATCAATAATCCATGTGACCAATGGAAATTTTAATAAATGTCGTTCAAAATGTCACGGTTAAGCTAAGAGTTGGACAGTCTTTTTTTATAACTTGAGGTATATTTTTTATTGTATCATAAATATTTTTTATGATCAAATGATGGTCAGTCACCATTAAAACTAATGAATCGTTTGGAAGACTCTACCAAGTCAACTCAACTTTACAGCGAAACAATGAGCATACTATCAAACTGACATTGATTCATAAATGACACTTACCTTATAGGTCAAACAACTAAATTTAGAGTTTTGCTTATTATGGCTATAACTTTGTTAGCACTGCGTTCACAGTTTTTGTGCTTGTCTTTTTGTGTTGTCTTTGTATGTTTTGTTTGGTTTTTTTTTTTAATTTCTATAAATGGCTTTGCTTGTCTCATTTATAAATATATTGTCTTCATGCTTTGACACCGCAGAGGTATATCATATCTTAACATTGATCTTAATTTGAAAACTATTCGCACAATTTTCTTCTTGAAAATTAGAAAAGTGGCTTTTGTTAATATTTTTTTATTTCAGATCTGTATATGCTTTTCAATTTTAATCCGCAAGTACGACAAGTAAACACATTCTGCGGAGGATGGTCATACAAACATGGCCTTGCTATACTTCAATACGATAGCGATCCTAATGAATAATGTATGATTGATGTGTATATTTTCATCAAAAAACTTTTATTGAAACAATCAAGAAAAGTCCATGTATTTTATGAAGCAGATACGAATATTTTCTTATCCAGTTGCATCTTTAAGAGTGACCGGAACTTTTTTAATTATGTGTAACATTGTTCCTGTTTAAAATCTTGCAGATAAAAGGGCAAGAGAGGGATACCATTTGTCGAACACATTCTACAAAGAAAAATAATTATACACTGAGAGATCTCGATCCAATGGCTATTTATGAGATAAGTTTATCGAGGAAATTATGCTGTTTTAAGAGTTCAGCAACAAAAAGATATGTAATTACACGAAAAGCTGGTACGCTATGATATTTAGCGTAGCATATTTAAGATATTTCTATCACATAAATTATCTCTATAACGAATAATTACAAAGAGTAAAATATATGTTTCTGAAGAATATGTAAGTTTTCAGTAAAACAGAGGTATTAATATGTTTCCTGTGACTATAAATGTATTTGAAAATATCAAATCTAATAGTTCATGACTATCATCTTTCATTTTTTGGAAATTTACAGTTCAATAAAGTTAGAGAGTTTCTGTATATCGAGTTGTGTGCCTATGAATTTCCAAAAACTAAATATTTGATAATTTGATTATCATTTATAGTTCTATATAATCATTAAAACTACTATTTAAGATAACTTACCTTGCTTAAAAGAAAGTAAAATATTGTATAAATATTGAATTTTATTTCATTCCGACTAGGTATGCTAAACGATCAAGGATATGATGCAAAGTCAACCAGCATTGATGTATGGTGGACTAAACCTGATTGTATTAATAACCTGCAATTGAAATACCAAGTCACATGCAATGAGTTGGTAAAACTTAAAACTTTTTACCTTTATACCAGATCGTTAGTTCTTTTCTTCAACGATGGAATCAGTTGCTAGGTATAATAATGTACAAAGTGAACAGTTTATTTTACCTAAGAACTTATTTACTTTGTTTTACACAAGAACTTATAACGTTTGTCAAAGTAACAAGACCACCAATAACGTTCATAATCCTGCAAGTTTATTCATGCAAATAAATAACACACTTAAAAGGCAGCTTAGCTGGTACACTCAGATTATGATCAATATATAACATGATCTCGATGTGTTAAGTTGATATTAATGTATATATTTTTTATATATTTTTGCATTTTAAATTAGTATTTATAAACAAATTATCTAATGTTTACTCAGATGTTAGGTGTTCACTTTCGAAACAAAATTGATATTTCCATAAGAAAGGTTACTTACGTTTTTGTTTCGATTTTTTCAGTGTAAATTATTTTTCTTCGATATTTCCCTCTGTACGTTTAGCATATCCGTTGATTCATTATACCAACAAAATGTTTTCATTTAAGAACGTCATTTTCATATTTCGTTTTGATTTTACTTTTTATTATTGAATTAATTCGTTTTAAATATAAATTTACATTCAATATAATATAACAAAAAAACAACATTAAAATAAAATTGAATCACACTGTAATTTTTAAGTACAAAATAAATAGTTGTTTATATATATGGCTTTTTAATTTGGCATTAGACACCCAAACTTTCACAAAATTATTGTGGTGTTTGGGGTTATGAACGGCTCTTAGTTTTCTCTTAACTGCAAGTTATTAACATGTCATTGTTATGCAAGCATTGTTAACTTTTCCATATCTATCGAAAACTAAGGAATAGCACATGGACATTAAACAGTTTTATTTCGGCCGAGTATCCTATAAAAAATATTTCTTGTTACTAACAGTTTCAAAACTCAGTATACACACTAACCTCTACAATGTCCATGCTATATGTATGTTACATGAATATCTCCTGTACATTAAATAGGGTACATTGGATAGGCAGATTTTGAACGTTTTACTAGCATTAATGGTTGGTGTTTTACGTTTGAATATTGAATAGAAACGCAATTATATGTACAAATGTCAATTAAATGTACACATGTCGTTATATCAATTTCCACAGTTATCTCCCTCTTCATGTACTTAAAAATAATATGTTTAATTATTAACATATTCTTACTTTTACGTTATAATTTTAATGCTAATGGCTTCGTATTGTTTATACGCGTACATTATATCTACCTTTCGATTCAAAGTCACAATCCAATCAAATGACATAAGCATTGTGTTTTGATAAATAGAGACCGGTGCCGCGTAATAATCACACGTGTAAGAATTTTACAGACATTTCAGTATAAATCAACGCTTAAGGTAACAGTGCAGTCATCATAACTGAGTTACATATGTTGAGTAAAAGACATCGAAATATTGTAAACGGATGCACAACAATTAATAAAAGGATAAATTGTATCTTTTGTACAAAAATGTAAACAAAATATCTTAGTCATAAAACATAACTGTCTAGTATTATGACTCGTAATGAAAGCTAGCTTGTTTCACTTTTTTACGCCAGTTTGCAAGTGTAGCAAGATTTAGGCCACCATAAATGTTCTACGACCATGCATTGAAAAGCGATTCGAGGTGTCCTTTATTGTTAAGACCAGTTTTAAAATTCCTGTTTCTAAAGGCCGTTCTGTCACTGTGACAACGAAATATTAAATGTTTTGTTTAGAAAATCGAAAAATCAAGTCTCTCATTTATTTTTCTCATTAATTTAGTTCGTCCTTCGACTGTACTTTCTGCATAACAAAGCTTCTATTCACAAAAAGGTTCTGGAATCTGTACATTTTAAACGATTATTGTCCTTAAAATTCACGGTATTCTCAAGCAAGTTATCATGTAACTTGTTCCGCTTTAATAGACTAACAAAACGTCTTGCCCTGCTTTGCTACAGGAGTAGAGATGGACTTGTGCCGGACATTTTTTAGGTAATTGAATAACTTTCCTTAGGTGAACTATTAGAATAATTTATTATATTCAATTTATATACAATTTCAAAGATGATTGGTATATTCTAGGGTAACTTTTAATACTTCATAAATTTTCTTTTGTCTCTATGGCGAAAGAGCTATGACACATGTTAAAAATACATTGTGTGGTATCTATATTTATTTCATTGTATGCGATGTGTTAATTTTGTTGAATTATCTCATCTTTATATAAACGTATAATGTAAAACGAACATATTAATGAAAATGAGTCATTTTGAATATAATTGTTTATTTATAACATATCTATCAGTGCAACAGTGAATTACAAATGAAAGGAGGGTATAAGTGTCCTTTTGAAACATTTCTTGAGATAAGTTACTCAATGAAATCATATATAATCCAATTAAGTATAACGCTATAATATATATAAAAACGTAAAGAGTGCAGAACATCTTTTTTTCATGTGAAGAAAACAGAACACAGTGAAACCGACATTACGATAAATGACCTCATTCCTGGTGAAATGTATAAGATTGAAGTATTTGCCATTGACAAAGGCACAAACGTACTTATACTTGCTAAGGAAATTTCAACAACGCCTAGTAAGAAATCATTCTGTTTTCGTTTTGCATGATTATTTCAAAATTAAAACCAAAATTAGATAATTAAATAAAAGTAAAAAAAGGACAGACACTGGTAAAACTTTTCTTGGATTAAGGTTTACATTTGCATCCATTAAAGATAATAACTTTTTCTGGATCTTTTATGTTTTTTATAAACTTTTTGCACCGTCGTTTCAGTCATTTCTTTTGAACAAGTGAACTTGCAGGATAATCAATCACTGATACAGAAGTCATATATATGACATCATAGGTTCCTCTGTATTTAAATATAGCTCTGTGTATCTAGTCAGCCTTTCCACCGAACTTGCTTTCCTAGATAACTTACAAGTAATTATCAATTTCTCAGCAAGTGACTGACTACTTTTCCCACATGATTTCTGAATTAGAGATGAGACAGATGACAAGATGAAATGTCACAGTGAAATTTTGCATCGACATCGCATCGAACCAGATATTCCTGGATTTCTTGTCTATTTAGTGTTACAAACGTTATCATTTTTCTATGCAGATGATAATCTATGCAGATATAATGTAATAATGTTATAATGTACCTCCCAATTTCAGACAGTGTTTAATATCTAGTATTGCTATTTCTTTACAACCAGATAAACCAACTGATTTGGATTATACTGCATCATCAAGACAGATTGAATTAATATGGAAGATACCTGAGAATGCCGGCAGACAACAATTAGAATACGAAGTCACTTGCAATGAGGTAAATCATTGAACTCTTCATTAAAATTCGTGTATCTCGTTCGATAAAGAACAATGATAATCATTGATAGGAAGATGATGTATAGAAAATGTAAATATCTAATTTATGTCAGGAATGTTTGCTATGTAAATTAGGCTTGATTTTCAAAAATGTTATTTTTAGACTTGCTCTTAGTTATTTTATTCAGAAGTATATACAATTGATATGCGTTGCCTTTCAGTTAAAATAGCTGCCGGTTTCTTTTTGCCGCGCCAGTTTTTGGCAAATTCAACCCCTATTTTTACGCTCTTTAAAAAAATGAAAACTATCTTAAATTGTCATATTTACTAAATGGTTTAAAAGTTAATATGTTTTGTTTTTCTATCTTTAATACTTTTTTGTAAAAATGCATTGAAAGTTTGCATTTGCCATGGCAAAGTGTGTTTTGCCATGGCATTTCGGCATTTTGCCATGGCAAATAATTTGCCATGGCAAATTAGAATTGCCATGGCAAGATTTTTCCTACTTTTGCCATGGCAAATTTGCCATGGCAATTATTTTTTAAAAACCTCACAAAACATTCTAAAACTTATCCTATGACATGTTATTGGTGCTATTGTTATGTTTTTATTGCAATCTCTAATTTTTTTTCATTTTGCCATGGCAAATTTTTGCCATAGAAATGCCATGGCAAATTTCTGCCATGGCAAATTTGCCATGGCAATTCCATGGCAAAAATTTTGCCATGGAATTCAATGGCAAAATTTGCCCATGGCAAGTCCATGGCAATTACAAAAAAGTTTGCCATGGCAAAAATATTATCAATAAAAATAAAACAACATTTTTTCTTTGAATTTTTTTTTTAAAATCATTAAATTGCCATCCAAGGAAAAA